CCCAGCAAGAAGTTAATGATCTAATTGTGGTTGTTATCAAAAAGGAAACTAGAGGACTTGGGCAGGCATGCAGCATGGATAGGCCTCTTACCAAGGATGAGCTCTTGCAAATGTTTGAACTCATGGGAAATCACATGCCTCAGGTACCTTGCAATGCTTAAGTTCCAGGTCCACTTGATTGGCCGAAATGATGATGATATGGTTCATGTGGGAAAAAATAGCTTGGAGAAATCAGCTGAATTTCCACAGTTCCTTACAGCAAAGTTAATGTGGTCTAAGAATGTGAGGGAAGAAAGGGACTGTTCAGGACAGATACTGCTTGGTTCTATAGACCATCAATCTTGTGTGGTACTTGTTGCTGTTGCGCTTGCTCTATTCCTTGAAAAGAGGTGCAAAGATGGTGATGGAGCAGCAAGTTAATGGCTATTCATTGAAGGAATTACAGATAGGAGGTCTCAAGCAAGGGATATTGAGAAACAGGTTAATAAAGGAAAGAATGCTTACTYTAGATATATTAAGTGCTATGCCTTTGGTAACAATGAAGTCTTTATCCTAGTAGTAGTAGTAGAAGAAAGACCAGCACCTTCCAAAGGCAAGCTGGGCACTCATTCCTTCTAAAAGTTTGCCACAACTTGTGGCAGGCTGAAGTTCTGGAACTGCATGAAGAGACTTATCAGTGCTGGTTGTAMTTCTGAAGTTGCTGTTAAAAGAATCTTTGCAGTGTATGGTGGTCCAACCAAGAAAGTCTGCTATCCTTGAAGCTATGGGTCCTCATGAGGCCCATGGAGGCCACAAGTTGCTTTGTGGTCCTGCTGTCATGGCTGATTGATGGTCGTTGAACCTATTTGTTCTTTGTTGCATCTTTTTCTTACTACTTGCCCCCATAGGACTGTATATATTATAAGTGTTTTTGTAGCTGATAGCTATCTTCAACAACAGGAGCAAGATTAATAGCTGATAAGAAAGAGGAGTGTCAGTGATTCGAGGTGTTTGTTGAGAATTACCTTCATGACTTGTGTTTTTTTTTCATATGCCTTGTGTGCAATTGTGTGAGTACTTCTCAACAATCACCCCCAATACTCTTGCACTCCAGTCTTGTCACACACTGGCTTGTTGCACCTACGTAAATTATGTGCTGTGTTCTGCATGGTTGCATTATTACTAGTTGATATTTCTCTGTGTACTTGTCTGCTACTAGTATGCACAAATATACTACATACTCCTGTACATGGTGTTTAGTGCCTGGTGAATTAGAGTGCCTTCCTCCTCCCTGATCTAGTATTGCCTAGTACAGGAAAGCTGCTTAAAAATTATTTAAAAGTTACTTTAGTATAAGCTACTTAAAAGCTGCTTTTGAGCTAGTTTAGAGTAGCTTTTAAGTTGATTTCCAATAAACATGGTGCTAGCATGTAGAATCTATGCTATACCCACCAATTTCTAGTACATAATTAATGACCAGTTTTAAGTAGCTTAAAAGTAGCTTTAAAGCTACCTGCTACTAGTGAAAGGTGCTTAATATATTTCTACTTTAAAGCTACTTTATTCCTACCTTGGAGGCTATGGTGTGCTGTGTTCCTCTGTGCATGTATCAGTATGTACCATGGGGAATGTTTTCTTGATGTAGTCATAGTAGTTGTGACGTGGGTCCAGTAGCTTACAGTATCTGGTAATGCRTTGTTTTGTATCATACTACTAGACTACTATCACTGCTCAAAGGACCTTATGGACAAGTATACTTCAAATCACTCTCCAAATTTGAAGCCTAATCTACACATTTATCATAGTTAGGATGAAATCATCGAATCTTCCTTATACTAGGAGTGTTGAAATAGTATTGGAATTTTGCAGAAGGATATGTCTCTGCTGATGTTCTCTTGATAGTAGCTTCCTCTCCTCTAAACAAGTCATGTACGATGGTAGTAGTAGTAATATTTACTGCCACTGTTGTTTGTAGCTTTCCATCAGCACCAAGAAGTAGGGTTAGAAAGAAATACTAGTACTCATAGTATTATGAAGACTATGGGGGCGCATGGTGGGCAGGACTAACCTAGAAGTGTACAGGTACAACAAGAGTGTGTTTCAACTCCATCATACTTCACATGTTGAAAAAAGATCTACAAATATCATATTATACATAGTGCTGCTGGTACTAAATGCCTGAGCAATACTATACAACCACCACTTTTTAATATCCGCCCATCTGCATTCCTTGTCATAACAATGAATCTACAATAAAAATCTATTGCAATTCCTATCATGATTGTATGATTTCATTAGTAGTATTGGTGTTGTTGCAGATTCACCATCAACAGTAGCCGTAGGAGGAGGAGGAACAAGCTGCTGATAGTATTACAAGTGAGCTGATGATAGAATTGCTAACAATATGATCATTGCAATGGTCAGAAATAGTAATGACAGTAGTAGTTGTTAGAAACACGTTTTGGATTGCTCTGGATTTTATTGATTAAGTAGATCAGCATATACAGTTGTGTGTCTTGGAACCATGTGTTGAATTTTAAAAGTTGAATACTTTCAGAAAGATTCACACACTATCACTAGTAGTAGTATTAGTACAGCTGCTGCTGCTGCTAGTAGTACTAGTACTAGTACTGGTAGTAACAGAAGAGAAGAAGATAGTTTTTGGTGATAACAAGTTCCTCACCATGATGGTGCCCCCAGTGGATTATAGTGACTTCATTTAGTGGTGGAAGCTCCAAGTGAAGAAGAATGCTATCCAGCTGTTCTCCTTCTAGTACCACCCAAGGACTCCTCAAAGGTCATTGACCCACATAAGGGATCTCACTGAGATCTTCTTAGGTCAATGGAGAAATTTCTGTTTTATGTTGACTGGTAGGAACTTTTATCATACTGCTACTATGCTGCTGTCTCTGGGAAATCTACTACTGTCACCCAACTTGGCACAGACAAGCCTTTTAGTACTAGTGGTGGACCACCAGTGCATGATAATTTCTTTAATTTTCATATGTTAGTTTGATCCATTAGTCATCAAGAAAAATACTGCAAAGATGACAATCAAAGAGGGCATGGTTCTGTAAAGGCTTCCTTTGAAGTTGGTGTCCAGAATAGCAACAAATACAAAGATAAACCATTCACTGGCAGCAGCAAGATTGAGAGTAAGAGAAGATTCTGCTGGAAGGACGAGATCTACAGCACATTCACTTTCAATGACTGTTTTCTAATGAAAATTAAGTGATCAAGTCAAGCTTTTGAACACAAACTTCCTCAAGTTTGCAAAGGAAAGCTGAAGTTCATTATTTTCTTGCATTGTTGCCAGAAACCTTGCCGCAAAATGAAAGTATGTATCTTAGCATTCTTCCATCGTGAAGTGCTTTTGAAATTATATGGTCGCTGGTCGCTATTTACAATTACTCATGCACACCTCCCGGTCGGAATAATTAATACAGAAATCGAACTGTAGGCATTCAATAACAAAATCGTATTGGTACTATGAAGAGCGAAGTGCTGATCACACTTTCTATCTTTGTTTAAATTTAGTAATACATAAACAGTACTTCCAACGATAACAGACGTCAATTACTCATGTTGTGTACCTTTAGCTCGAAAGCATACAACAGGACACCATTTCTCTTCATCTTTTACTTGAGACATTCCATCCCTTCCACAAATGAAAAAATGCAGGGTTGAACACTTCAATCTTTCGAAGACTTTCCACACGATTATTCCTCTGTCAGAGGGAATCCGAAATCATGAACACGAGTCCACTTGTCGTTCCTTTGATACAGTCTAATCGCCGATCAATGACAAGGATAGATTTATCGCTCTGTTCCTTCTGTGTCATAGGTTCCTTCCAAAGTGTAAGAGTCTGCCATGGACTGGGACTCAACATCAGACTGTCGGAAAATCTCATTGAAAGCATCTGGCTGCTTCACGCCAAGGAATCGGATTCCAAAAATCAAAAATAGGGTCAAGAGACCCATTACGATTCCCCACACACCCATGGCGAACAAAAAGAGTGAAATCAGAAGATCCACAATGTAGCGTCCTCGAAATGTAAATAGAATATCACCCATTTTTGAATTTTCGAGTCTTGTGGTCAGCGCAGACGGCGCTTCGATTGCTACGCAGAGCATCAATACGCACAATATGACCATCAGGGCTCCGACAAGGATATCGAGATAAACCCCTCTCATGAGAAAATTAAAGGACACGGAAATGTTCAGCTACAACGTTGGCCATGAAGCAAAATCAATTTTTGATATTGAAACACGAGAGAAAAAAAAACGACACACATTGTAAGTTGAAGAAAAAAGCTTCACTGTTAGACCGCTTCCAGTCAACTTTTTGGGTTATTGGTTCTTGATGGATGTTGGAGGAGTGATSATTCGTTGGCACCATCTTTTGTTCGACACAAACTATCAAAACGCGTAGTGTCGACGACCATTCGACATTGTTTGCAGATTTTCTCGTCCAGCACAGTAGATTTAGAAGATTTGTGTTGCGCGACTGGCTTCTCATGAATATTATATCATTATACGAGTATGAAGAAATAATATTCTCGCATGACATATGCCCATTTTGGATTACTTAAGAAGCAAAGCCACCACTTCCACGAATAAATCGAAAAGAGGATGAAAATAAATGCCGCATCAAATGCTGAACCTATCGATGCAGCGAGGTACCGAACCCTGCCAGGCGGTCTTCGTGAAGAACTTACAACATAGAGCAGGGCCGAAAGGGTCCGGAACGACCGGGTCAATCGATGTTTGGATGACATGACGATAAAGTTTCGATTAGTTTTGTTCTCTTGTTGACAATGTAGACGGAGTCCTTCGCATTGCGAAAACAACTTCCACACGAGAATTTTGACTTGAGGTGTGCGATTGTGGTCCGAGAATGAAGACTATTGACGAACGAGGTTAGCTCTGATGTCCGCGAGGATTTCGGAAAACATTGAAAAAATTATCTGGGTGTGTTCGGAATTTTTTAACGGTCGCCTGTTCGACCGCGCGTAGGCAGCGAGATTCGGAAAAACATTGGCTTTTGGTTCTGCGCGCTTGCGCTGGGGAATAGTACTTGTGTAAACGAGGCACGTACCTCTTCCCTTGAGAGATACAGTAAGAAAATGACTCGATCATACACGCTTTTGCCTACTCGTACCGGTACTACCGTAGTAACGCGGTTTTTCCCGTAGTCCGTCCGCCAAAAGAAAAGCGGGGAGCTGGGAATACTCGCTTCAGACCACACGTGCCGTTACAGAAAAAAAGGAGGGCAAACAGAGAAAGCCTGTTTCACATGCTGTACATTCTTCTTGTTGTGCTCAAAGAAAACTTGAGGAATTCCAATAACTCATCCATAGAGATTACCTTGCAGATTAATGGCTCCAGTAGCACAACAAGAACAACAAGGAGGGAATAAAATGTTGTTATTGTTGTTGTTCGTCTTCTTCTTCTTGTTTGCTCGTCCTCCTTCATCCTCATCTTCTTGCTTGTTCTTGATGTTCTTCTTCTTCTTCTTGTTATTGTTGTTGCTGTTGTTGTTCTGCTGGTGGTGGTGGTGGGGGTAGTGGTGGTGATAGTACTACTACTAGTAGTAGTACTAGTAGGACCAGTTACACTACTAGTAGCTAGTAGAAGTTGCAGTAGTAGTGGTATGTAGAGGAGGCAGCAGAAAGATTCACTTTTTCTTGTTTTTGATTGTTGTAGTAGTACTAGTACTACTAGCTAGCTAGTAGTAGTACTAGTAACAGTACATTTTGATATGATCCATGTATTTTTTTCTTCACCTTTGACATCATCCAGATAACGAACAACGGACAGAATTTGTGCCACACCCTTCTTTCTTTCTTAGATTTTCTCAGAATCACGACCCCTGCACGATACAGTACATACACACGTAGTATTGTACTCGTACTTTCCAGTAAGAGATTGTACCTCGATAGTGCCGTATGGTACATTCTGTTATTTTTTCGTGACGTTGATTAGCTGTCGGACACAGCAATCAGGAGGTACCGTACTGCACCCCGACCTGCCCCATCGCACTATCTTGTCAAGACTAGGATTGGGAGTTCGTAGTCAACACCCATAGATTGATTAACATCCGGTGCTAAAGGGCACGGTCGCACCTTAGAATACAGCAATTTTTTCTGCAATCAGAAGTTAGTAGAGAAAAGGGGAAATGGGGAGGAAAAAGAGACCCAACAACGCTCAACACAGCAATCCAAATAATGAGAAGAAGGCGCGGGCTAGCAACGAGACGGGGGAGAGTTATCTCGTGAAAAAGTATCGTCCGACTAAGWTATATTCGTCAATGGATGCCTTCGTCAAGTACACTAAATCACATCGCATGCTCGACGCCTCCTATGTGCGTTGGAAGACAGGCGTGACCCCCGAAAAGCCGTTTGTGTTCTCTACAAGAGTTGGAGGTGTGGATCTGGGCTGGGGGAGGGGGAAAACAAGAGAAGCCGCGATGGATTGTGCGTGCCGGGCAGCTTTTGCGCTGGTTGCCGCGCACGGTTACAACAATTTTCCGCTGGACGAAGATTGCTTGATGGAAGCTCCCAGGGATCCTCCTCCTCCACCCCCTCCACCACCGATGAATCCCCCCGGGATTCCACCTCTCCCACCGGGTCTCCCCCCCGGTGCGATGGGCCTCCATGGTATGCCACCAAATCACTTTCCTCCACTACCGAACGGCATGCCGCCACTTCCGCACAGCTTGCCTCCTGGCCTTCCCCCCAGACTTGTGCAGCCGCCCCCAGGAAATCATCCTTCCCTTCCATCTGCCGATCTCATACCTCAAGCACAGATGGTGTCCAACACAGCTCCCACCGCATCAAGTTTGTCGTCTACACTGGGGAATACTTCAACGGGTGTGGGTCCCTCTTCTACTGCACAAATATCCCTCGGAACTGGTGTTGATGGGGGCAATACCGACGTTAAGATATCGACCGTCTCAATGACTCTAAATAGAATGAATGCGGCTGGTCAAGGATCGTCGACTTCCGACGCTACCGGCGCAAAGAAGATCGAAAATGGGAAGAAGGCTCTGAAGGGAGGCCTATCACTAGTGTACGCCGCTGATGGAGAAGGTGCGGACGAGATGTGTATGGAAGAGACACGGGCACTTTTGCCTCGCTACCTAAAGCTTTTGTCGCGGGTGCATTCTGTTCACAACGGTTCCAAATAAAGAGAGGACAGAAACCTCCTGGTATAGGCATACATAGCGCCTGCAAGTGAACTTTGGTGCTTCAGAGAGTAAGTGCTGCCAAGGTGTGTACTATACTTTGTTTTTTTAAGTATCAATATATGAAAGCAAAACGATCGGCAACCGGAAAGATATCTCTGCTAGGTTAGATGTTGCAATACACAAGGGCAGATAGACAGATTACGGAAAGAAGTGCGGTGAGAAAGGATAGTGAACTTTACGTACATAGATATTCGAAGCTTGTTGTCTTTGCTGTTCTCATCGAAACCACTAACTGTCTATTGATACTAATGTGTGCGTATACACTACGTGCACGTTACCCTCCTCCTGGCGAGGTACGGTAAAAAAAAGCCAACCTTTCTGAATTCATCGGTTCATTGGATTTACAATTCAAGTACAGTAAGCACAAACAGTAAGTCAATAAATTCTTTATTTTAATGTTCGTACAAGATGAAGATACATTTTGTAAAATTTGCTCCATGAAGTCAATTAGAGCTGTTCAATGATCATCAAAGCACTTTCACCTTACTCTTCAACGAAAGCGATCATTTAACTGTGTYGGAAGGTTGCATATATGTTGGTATGGAAAAGCGATTAATAGAAATACATTTTTCTCTATTTATCGGTGAACGTAATGAGTGCTATTACTATTGTATTGCAAAAATATGGTACTGATTCCTTTCCAGTTCCATTATTTGAATCCTGTAGTTTAAAATGAGGATGATGAATACTATTAATTGCACTTCATTATGAACCTCGATCAAAATGCAATTCAACCATAACTTGGTGAAACTAAAATTGGATTGTTCACAAATGTGCATGGGACGTGATACAGCGGGAGTACTCCACGGGCGTCTCTACATCTGCATGTTTTGCATCATTGCTTGCATCATCGCTGGGTTTAATCCTCCCATACCGCCTCCTCCTCCCATGGAGCCCATCATGTTTTCCAACATGTTCATCATGCTGGGTGGAGGTTGAATGTTGAAATAGATTTTGCCGATTTTGGAAGTGTAGGACTGAATGATTTGCACCTTGTAGAATCCATCGAGTTCTCTCTTGAAAGAGCGAAGCAGCCACGAGAAAAGAGGTCCCGTTCTTGGGTCTTTCTCGCAGATGCGAATGAGCATGCAGCAAAAGATAATGTGGGAGGGGGCCTTTCCATCGTCTTTGCTGACATACGAGGCGGTCAGGGCGTCGGCATCGCGGTCCTCGACCTGTTCCAAAAAGGCGCGGCAGAGGGCTGAGGCATCCCTCAGGTTCTCGACCGCACAGAGGCACAAGACGGCTCGCGTCAGGAGAGCGTCACGATCCGCGGGGGGGCAGGTGTGCCCCGACTTGGTTTCTGCGGCCGTGGGTTTTGGCATGGTCTTGAGCATCTCGACAATGCCCATCGGCTCCTCTGCGAGTGCCATGTGGGTCACCGCGTCGGCCTTGAGTTCCATGACCTCGTTGTCCTCCTCGTCGACGTTTTCATCAGCACCCTCAGCTACAAGTTGCTGGGATAATTTCCAGGACTGCTGCGCCAAGAGCTTTTGGAGCTCCAGGTTTCCGTATCGAGTCTTTCCCAGTTCGGAGCTCCATTGGACACATTTGCGAAGCCAGTCGCGCTGGAGTCTATTCAAACGAACTGCTTCCGCTCCCGTCTTTCCGTCCATAGCCTTTTCCTGCGCGGCGTGCAGGCCCTTGAGTTTTTYCAGCAATGCCGGGGTCTCTTCGGTGTGGGTTTCGCGCAAGACATTCGCCAACAAAGCGGTGAGCTGCGAGGCCACCGAGACTCGGCCCTGCTCCAGGATGATCAGACTCGCGGAACAAGCCAATTCGATTGCCTCGGCGTAACTTCCGGCGTGGACCTTCTTTCGGATCTGCGACTGGGCGAGTTGCAAGGCTTCGTACGCGGTGGCTTCCTCGGCAAGTTTCTCGGGATCCTCTAGGAGCTTCTGCAGCTGGGCCGAAACCGGGTCGAGGGCATCGTGGCCCGCGGCGGCAGCCTCCTCTTGTTGCTTCTTGCGAGCCAGGAGTTGTTTCTTGCGACGGGCGGCAGCGGCACTCATTTTTAGCTTGGGTTTCGTCAGGGTTTTCTTGGTAAACCTGTTTTGATCTTTCATCGGCGGAAAGAGAACGAGTACAAAGGCCTCTCGGGCGTGAGTAMGAGAGGAAGCTGGTTTCCTACTGTACGGCGGCGTGTATCGTACTCGTACCATCTCGAGCTCCTCTCGAAGGATTTGGAGAGACATTCATTTCTGGCCGCATTTTCGACACAGTATCATTCTCGCCTGTCATGCAACGGTGTGGATTGTCATTTTTTGACGCGAGGGACACGCACGTGGTTATTCTCTCAGTCAGATCTAAACGAACGGGCTGAGGCGAGGACGCGACGAGCACACCTACCTCGTAATCGTATTACCTGTACGTACCTACGTAGGTAGTACAGTGCAGTATTCGTTATCCGTTACTATTAGTTATTCGTACTGTACATTTTTCGCACGGACGTGAATGCATTTTTTGAGTCGCGCATCTTTGGTTGAAAACATTTCTTAAAAAAGATGTTTTCTGTTTTCCAACCGATGCTTCTAACCGGTAAATAAGCGTTTCCTAGGAATCAATCGGCCTCGTTCAACGCGAGAAGGAAACTCTATTGCACAGTACGAACTTGTACACTTGCTACGCAACCTTTCAGAGCGGTATTGCTATTGTTTGAAAACGAGCACGAAATACAAAATACAACCAATTTCGGTGCTTTCGAATGATTGCATCGATCCAATCAACAAAATCTCTTGTTTCGAGAAAAAAGAAAGGACCAGCCGACACCACAAACGGCATAGTACTCGGCCCGAGGACACGAAAATGGGTATGCATGCACTCTGCAATACTTGACGTGAAAAACAGAAACGCAAAGGATCAAAGAAGAAAGGAGCGCTGTTTCTTGTGAGAAAATCCAACAAACCTGGTTGGAGTTGTCGTAGCATCCCGAAGGAGGATCCCAGTCTTCGTTGAGTTCCAAGAAACAACGAATCGATGGCAGACGCTTTCCCTGCCACGGGGAGTGGGTTGCCGAATGCGGGTGCCGATGCAAGCAATGACCCAAACAGCGATGGCTGCGTACAAGTCGCGGTCCGCGTCCGTCCGATGCTTCCGAGCGAAGCTGGAAACACGGAATGCGTCGGCGTGTTCCGCTCTGCCCCACAGGACAAGGGCGACGGCACCGGTGTTTTGAACGTTCTCCAGCTCGGTGGATCGTCCGGCCCAAAATTCACCTTCGACCAGGTGTTTGGCACACAAACACTGCAGAGCGAAGTCTATCGGGATCGCGTGGCGCCTCTGGTAGCGAATTGTTTGGAGGGTTACAATGCGACGGTCTTAGCATAGTAAGTGCACCATGCGGTCGATGGAAAGGAGGGTTACTTCTTGTTCTTGGAGTTTTTGTAGCTTCTATTTTTTGTTCGAGTTGTATTCTAATTTCTGTTGGTCTCAACTATGGGTGGATGATTTAGTGGACAAACAGGAAGCGGAAAAACCCATACGATTATGGGCGGGGGGATGTCGAATGCAATGATGCAAGAAGAGACTCACCAGGGAGTGCTTCCCCGGGCAATTAGGAACATATTCGACGAGTTACAAACACAACAACAACAGGTCTCAGATACCAGATCGAAACCTAGGAATAATGTTCGCAATGACACTGGTGCGTCTTGCACCTCGTACGAATTTTCGGTACGCGTACAATTTCTGGAAATCTATGGAGAAGAAATCAGAGACCTTTTAAATCCGCGACCAGTGGGCACTTCTACAACCGAGTCAAAACTTTCGATTCGAGATGTCGGCAACGAAGAACCAGAAGTTGTAGGAGCGACCATGCACAAAGTAGATTCTGCAGAAGAAGCTCTTCTCTGCCTGACTTCGGGAATGTATCGAAGAGTTACCGCATCCACTGCGATGAACGCAGGAAGCAGTCGGTCCCATGCCATTCTCTCCCTAATCGTAGAGCAATCAACATCCATGGACGAGATTGAACAAAACACTCAATCAAAGACATCGCGATTCAATTTTGTCGATTTAGCAGGTTCCGAACGCCAGAAGCGAACGCAGGCCACTGGCCAGAGACTGAAAGAGGGCATCGATATCAACAAAGGGCTATTAGTATTGGGAAACGTGATTTCGGCATTAGGCGATCCACAAAAAAGAGGGAAAACTTTCGTTCCGTATCGTGATTCAAAATTGACGCGTCTTTTGAAAGGCAGTTTAGGCGGAAACCACAAAACGCTCATGATTGCTTGCGTATCACCGTCTTCGAGCAACATGGATGAAACTCTCAATTGCTTAAGGTATGCCAATCGTGCAAAAAATATCCAGAATCATGCAGTTGTCAATTTGGACGCCGCCTCCCTCTTAGTTGCTGAGTTGCGGGGGAAAATCCAAGGATTGGCCAGAGACTTGATTAAGGCAAAGACGGGAAAGTTAGACGAATGCTCGATCCCTATGAATATTGTCGAATCCCTAGCGAGTGGTGGTGATGGAGCTGGGGGAGGAAAAATATTCACGAAAAACATACAGCCTGCATTCTCGGCATCTGCAACAGATAACGAAAGTAAAGCCGAAACACAGCGACTACGAGCTGAAAACGAATCCATTCGTCTTCAGCTTCATTCTTTCTCTGAAGGAAATGATCCTTCCGAAGTACTTCAAGAAGCCTACGTTACAAAAGTTACAGAATACGAAAAAGAAATATCTCGTTTAAAGCATGAAATTCAAGCAAAGAATGATACGAAGTCAACTCTACCGATCCAGCCAGAATCTCCAGAACTGAACCGGCTCAGGTCCCAGATGTTCGGAAGTCTGGCCAAGTCCATTACACTCGATGCTGAGGTAGAGGCAGAGGAAGAAGCTATGAAAAATCTTTCTGAAAAATTCTTGAATCATCCCATGACTGACGGCGAGTTTCCTGAATACGATCGGTCCCATGATATGGAAGACGAAACAGCTTCCACACCGGCTGAAGTCCCTGCTGCGCTCGACGCTGATTTGTTTGCGCTGTCGAATTCGATTTCAGCGAAGGAATCATTGATCCACCAACTGCAAGCTTCACAAGAGAAATTTGAGTCAATGAGAGAATTTTACGAAGAAAAATTACGAGAGATGGGAGACATTGTGGCAGAAAAAGAAGCTGATACTGAAAAACTGGTTGATGAACTGAAAAAACTTGGTGATGGTCATAGTAGGGGGAAAGAATTGTCCCAAAAACTGAAAGAAAAACAAGCACAGGTAGTTGAGTTGAAAAGAAAGCAGGCAGAGCTTTCTCGAMTCACAAACGTTGCGTCGCGGAACGAGTCTCAAATAGCTCGCCTGAAGAATGATGTGCAAGAAATGAAACACAAAAAGATTGATCTACAAAAGCAAATGGTGGCAGAGCGAAAAAACCACATGAGCGAAGTGAAGAAGATGAAAAAAGAATCTTTGCAAAAAGACAGGGAATTGAACAAAGCCAAGAGAGAGGTGAACAAGAAATCACAAGAGGCATCGAAGGCGCAAAAGATTGCAAAAGTTAGGCTTGGTCAAATGAACCAATTGAAAGCAAAATATAAGGACACAGAAAAGCGCCTAAGAATGAAAACCGTAAAGCAAGGGGTTTTGAAAAAAGCTGGATTGGAACCTGTGCTTTTTGGGAGAAGCCAAGCAAGAGATGATGGTGGCAAAAAACACAGAACAACAGCTGCTAGTAAATGGGGAAAAGCCGATGTAGATAAACTTCGTGACTTCTTTGACAAAAAAGTCGCTGACGTAAGTAGGCGCGAAAATCTAGCTGAAAAATTAGCTCAGGAGTGGGAAGAACACCTCGAGCTAACCATTCAAAAAGAGGAGTCTTTCAAGACTGATCCAGACGACCAACACGAATCTATTCAGGCCTTGGACTCGGCAATCAAGTATCGCGAGGAACGCATTCGGCAGTTGGCGTCAAAACTGGGAAAACGCGATAAGAAAAATAAACACGACCCGGCGAATGATGAAACCTTCGTCTTCAAGAAAGAATTTACTACTATAGTAGGTTCRGAGACGTTGACTGGTGGCGCGGAGACCGTCGCGAAAGTACTTTTCGGTATGGTGGTGCGAGAAAGACGGAGAATCGCATCTTTGGCTCGAACGGCATCCTCATTAGACGAGAAAGTTCAAGAGATAGAAGCTGCTCTTGCAGAAAAAGATGCAGCATTCAACGCCTATGTCGGGGAACAAAGGTTGGACGCAGCGGCGTTAGCCCAAAACCAACAAGAACACATTCTATCGTTGATGGAAATGGTCAAAGAAGGCCAGACTGAGGAATCTCAAAAGCCTCTGTCCCCCCGTACAGACACGACCAACCGCCGTTTATCACTCTCTGCTAAGGATGGGAATTCGAGGCTACTTGTTCTAGCAAATGGACGTATCGAGGTGCTTGAGCGGCAACTAAGTGAGACTTTACTTGCCCGAGATGCAGTAAGAAAGCACCAAGAGCGAGAGCAATCGGCCCTGTTCGAACTCGACGCGAAAACAAAGGAATGCGAAGAACTTTTAGAAGAGATAGATGAGTTGCGCTCTGCTCTTCGTCGTATTCGGGAACAAGTTGTAGATGATGAAAGTCGCTCTGCGGTCGGATTGGAAAAAGAACGACAGACGCCTTCCAAGGCAGTAGAAGATATTGTCACCCTTGCTTTGCATCCGGCATCTCTTTCCAGTTCGAACACCAGGCGCAGACGATCCGTTGCGCAATCCATGAAACGCCAATCACTCGTGGTATCAACAAGAGAAAAAGAGAACGAGTTACTATCCAGCGACAGCGACGAAGTGCCTGACTGGGCGGAAGACATAATGGCTGACTTAGCGATCATTGCTGATGGGAAAATGCCGGCTTCGCTCATGCAATCACAAGAAGTTATCGAGGCAGAAGCTAACAATGTCTTCGATCGTTTGACAAACCCGAAAGGCTTTACTGGGGTGCAAAAGCAAAGAAGTGTGACTCGAAGTCGCACAATGCGAAAGAATCAAACATCTGATGGTCTCAAAAGCTCGACATTTGTTGATGAAAAAGAAAGAAAGAAAGAAGGTGCGCCCTTAAGAAGACAAAAAGAAAAAATATCGAGTGAATCAGCTGGGAACGGTCGCACTGTTTTCGATCGTCTACTTAGTCCTTCTAATCTTACGGGTACACAAAAACAAAAATTCCACCGAATACACGACAAAAAAGGTCGCACGTTGGAAAAGGCTATAGAAAATCAACATGTCTCAGTACGGGGGAGATCACGAGCCATTCATTATGATTCTGATCACACTGAAGATGAGAAAGATTTTGTGTTACATGATCAATTCTCTCCAAAAAGTAAAGGAAGTGATGCGGGTGAAAAGAGAAATTCGCACAATTCAAGCAAGGTTGATGATCATTCACAGCTCAGTGTATTTGAGAGACTTAACAAGACCACAACACAAGCTTATAAAGAAAAGGTTCATGGTAACATTGCGGAAAAAATGCTCGACGACATTCTTCTTGATGAAGAAGAACACGAAAACGATGATGACGACAATGACGACGAAAGCCACAAATTTGAGCCTCGTACGAAAAGAATTAAAGAATACGCCAGTCAAGATGTTTTTGAAAGGTTACAGCGAACTACAACAGAAGCATATGCTTCAAAGCAAAACCATCCAACAGAAGATTCAAGTGTTCCTAGAAGTCCAAGCCCGATGAGAAGACGAGGAGCATAACTGCTCTGATGCGYAGGTTTTTTGTTTCCTTCACAACAAATCGAATAGAATCGTATCGTATGGTATGAAATTGCTCAGGTCGACGAAAATTAAATAATAGCTTTTTAATTAACTTAATGCTTGGCTTGGTCTCATTTCTATTTCAGGCATGATAGCCATTACATCGTATTCATTTCGGAGCCTCTTCAGATGAACCAACAGGTATTCTATAAAAATTGAATCGATTGCCGAGATAAGGTTCAATAATCGAGTATGGAACAGGTCTTTTCTTACTGATTCTACAGGAAGAGAGATAAGAGTTTCCTTCGTCGTTCACCAAATCACTTCTAGTCCAAGGCCAGAGACGGAAAACAAGCCGACCACGCACATTTGAAACGTGTATTGGCCCGTATTGCCTTCCAGTATAAGAGTTATCAGGGGATATCCGTGTAGAGATGGCCGTTTGACAAGATAAAGAAGGTGTGAGATCAGAGCTCGTTGAAGGAGAAATTTCCGGGCACGCTTCCACATATCTGGATGCAAACGGCAGACTGCGAGACTCGAAATCAAGATTAGATGTATTTGAGTATTGGAAGAATATGTCTGGGACTTACCTTGAGTCCATCGAAAACAGAGGACAGTCGCCTTCCAGCCAGAGGCACTGCTTTGGGACAACAAGTGTGTCTGACTGCATTGCTTTCCCTGGGTGATCACTATTGTTAAACACAGCGTCACTTTTGCCCTCAGCATTTTTCTCCGAATATGCACCGAATTTCCGACGTACAGTTCCTTCCTCATCTCTAGGCCAAAGAACCCCTAAATCTGATCGATGCTTGAACAGATTGCTGTACTCGCCATATGTATGAACGGTATCTCCTTCGAGTCCTATTATTCTTTTACAGCTTCGTTTTCCATTCTCCGGATTTTCCCATATTACTAGATCCCCTACTTGATACACTGACTTTAAATTGAATTCATTTTGCTCTCCTCCAAAAATGTACCTCCATGCTCGACCCAATGAATCTGTTTCAATCAGCCATACGTCTCCAGCAAATTGTATGGTGGGCAACATACTAGGGCCGAGACTACATTGTATAATATAAGGCGAGGTGTTTTCGTCCGTCAGCAGAAACGACAAAGCCAGAAAAAGGGGCAAACGAAATCCCAGCGCCATCCATAGAGAATAATGTGTAAACGATATGTTTCGTCCTGGAACTCTAGGAACCAGGGACTCAAATATTTTTTTGAGCTGTCGCGATTTGCCAAACATAGGAGAGAGTCCTCCTTTCGGGACCAATCTCCAAATTTTTCCTGTCAGATTTGAGTGAGAACTGGACGTGTCAGTGTTGGAGCTCTTTGCCTTTCTCTTCGCTTTGTTTCTTTCTTTTCTTTCGAGCAAACGACGCTCTTTTCTCGACAGCGATTCAGAAACCCTTTTCGCTTTGGTGTGGGAAGAAAATCTTGCTATTTTGTTTTGACCAAGAGAACAAAAGGGGCCTGYCGATGTCTCTAATCGCAGAAGTTTCGTGCATTCCTTGAACGGGAAAATCGATTGAACGTTGGGCTGTGTATTAGAGTACCATCTCGAGTAAGACCTTCCTGTCCTTCCTAAAAGTAGTTTTGACATCCCCATGTATCTGGCGGTAGACACGTATGCTGCCGAAAGCGTACCTGGTCGCATTCGCATTGGATCTATTGTATGCCTTGGAACCTGAAATGAACGGAGGCCTTCAGTAATTACGAATATCGATTTCCAGAACCCAGCAACTAGAGACAAATAAAAAAGTAAGCGTCGAGTTGCTCGATTATAGCTTACTGTGCTACTTCCTCCTGAACTCCCTAAAAGTAGTCCCCGAAGCAACCTTTTTCTGTACTGATGAATTAAGCTCATTTGGCTCGCTAGTAGCGGAAATACAGATCTACTACTAGTTTAACTTTTAACTACGAAGTTAGTGCCAACAAGAAGGTGGAAAGTACTGCTCTGAAAAGAGTGTAGAAGCTAATCAATGAAAGCACAGTGGCTGTTTGTTGTTTCTGAAATGATTTCTGAAATAAGAATGGAGGAATTCATTTCTTATTTGTTGTGTACTACTACTATTACTACTTCTACTAGTACTACTAGCTAGTATGTTGGGTATTCTTGCTGGTGGTGGTTGTTGTGCTCCTGTTCTTCTTGTTAGTACTTTCTTGTTGTTGTTTCTGTAAGGAGAAGAAGAAGTGTTTTTACAAACAGACCACTACTACTAGAACAAGAACAAGTTCACTCCTCTAGAAACTCTTGAAAGGATGACAACAACACAAGAAATTCAATTGCTTCTGTAAGGAGACCAAGTTGAAACCAATACACTTGGCAAAGTTTTTCCTGCAATTTGTGAACAGTTCTTCTTTTATTGACATTTTATATTTGGAAATGAGTTAAATGTGTTCCTTTCTTGTGACTTGTTGTTTGACTTTGATATGTAATTTTTGATTCATATTCTTGTGGACATAAACATTTACTAGCTGTTGCTGCAGTGAAATATCCATCAATGTTGATAGTACTTTCACAATCCTGGTACCCATTTTTCAGTTTGACAGACTTGAATGTAAAACAAAGGACTCTATGATTTGCTTTTGACTTTGATTTTTCAACATCTATGTGTTGCCATCAATCATGACAGGTGTGTCAACATACAATTTGAGCACTGCATCTATCCTTTTGGAAGGTTTGGTTCCACCTGCAACAAAGTCAGCATCTGATATGATGGCACTTACTAGTAAGTTTTATTTCTAAAATATGGCATGTTTCTCTCCTATTTTCTTATTTTGACAATCTGCAGTTTCAGGTTTGAGGCCTTAATTAGCTACCATAGTATGATCTGATAAAAATCTGCCATTTATCATATATGTCGTGGCTACCAAATCTACTGGTGCAATAAAACAAAAGCAGCAAGTAACAATCTAGCCATGAATTTCCTGTTTCCTATCATTTTGGAAACTCAACTTTGCAATGTAGTAAAAAATTCTCAAAGTTATGTTTGAACCTCATGAACTAGAAGAGGCATTGTTAGTAGTATGTTGGCCAGAACTAGAACTTCTTGGGGGAAGAAAGCTCCTAGTAGCTGTTCTGCCGGGGCTAAACCCTCCCTCCAAGGAGATGTGATGGAGGCACAACCATTTAGGTGGGTAAGCTGGCTAATTGATTGGTTGAAAAATTGTGTTATAATGGTTTGGAGGGTTCAATTGTTGTTAACAGCAGGGGCCAGAGAAGAAGGCTCTGGCAAACTAGGAGGTTTGCGTCCTCTCTTCTTGGAGTATGCAACTGCACATAGTAGGAGTGTCTGATATTTTCCAAGCTTCCAGTGCATGATGTATTTTTGACAGCGTCCACATGAATTGTCTCTCCTTGGATGACAACATCAAAACTTTTATGTAGGATTTGATATGAAACACTAATTTGTAGCTTGTTTGTTGTCATATTTCTAGTTAGATTTTGTCTACTACTAGTACCATATGCATAGGAACCAGTGATAGCTGAGCCTCATGAGTTGTAAAGTGCAATTGTACTTGAATCTAGTGCTGGTACTTTGGGTGTTTTTAGCACTGTTCTTTGAAATTTTTATGAAAATATATGTGTGCCAATTGAAGTGACAATTTGCAGGTTATTGAACTGAATTGTATTCTTAGTAGTACTAGTAATAGAGAGGACAAAAGTATGATGGTGAGGAACATGTTACTCTAGTGATTTTGACATTCTATTGACCAGCATGCTTGTCCTGAATGCCTAACAGAGACAACAATACTTTAAATAATTCCAGCATACCTCAGTTCATCTGTCCTACCCCACTCATGCTCCTTCAGGAGTTCTATCCCCCTCCCCACAGCAGCTACTATAAGTAGGAACAGAAACACTCTTCTTCTTGATGGGCCTGTTTCTTTGGCTAGTCTTGGGGTTTTACCCACCACTTCTGTTTTGATGGTTGTTATATGTTGGCTTGTGACACAATTTATCAAGTCTTGGGATGGAATTGGGGTACCAGTAGCAGAAGTCTAGAGCAGTAAGAATTCTGGCTACTGTTCACAAAAGATAGTGGTAGTCCAGTGTTTTTGAATGGCTCTTTTTTGTCATACTGATCTTATCCAGCAATGACAGTTTTATGTGCTATCCCCCCTATCAAACTTGTATTTATAGTAGATTGGAATAAGCCTTCAWACAGAGCCCTTAAATTGTGTGATTTTGATTTTACTGGTTGAAAGTGTTCCAATAGTCATTTTCATACGCTGCTAGTACTTGCGCATTTTAGCATAGATATAGTATTTTGTAAGGCTCTTATTTGCGTTACCAAGGAGAACTTTCTTGCATGGTCATTTCTTGTTTCAATGAGGTGTACTGTACTATTGTCAAAGTTGTGTTTGCTGTGATAATTGTATGTGCAATTTTGTGTGTGAAAAATCAATTTTTATCATGGGCATGCACATTTTGTTTCTACATATTTTACATAGTAATCATATTTTATTGGGGGTTACTAAATGAAAATATTGAAAAGTACTATTAAGTGAGTAAGGGGGACTTTCAAACTGGGACAGCAAAATTGGAGTTAACAGATGGTCATAATGGGACAGAGGAAGTAGTTATTTTTTGCCTTGGGTCAAGCACCTTGCTGGAGTACATAGTACCTCCTGTCATAGATGATACATGTAATCCAAAAACTGTATTCTGCTTCCCCTTATGATAGACCCTCATTTTCTTCATAATTTCTTTGCAAGTACCAGTTATTTCAATATAAAATCACAGCCAAAAGTAATGAGTATTTTTATYCACCCACTACTAGTAGTAGTGTTGTAACTTTGACAGACTACAAATTCCTTGAAGTCACTACTAGAGCATCTATTGCTGGCTTCCCAAGAATGATGCCAACCTTGAAATCAACAATGTCAACTTGGACTGGACACTTGGCCTGGTGATATAGTTGTTTTTTGGTAAAGTTCTGGCCTATTTTATATTAAGCAGTGTAGCCAGTCTCAAAAACTAGCAAAATTTGGCCTACCAACTACTGCTGTTAATGGCAGGCTTCCAGCTCCCTCAGTGCTCTACGCCTGTGTAACAATGACACAGGGCAAGCTTTCACCCAAAGACAAGCTGCTCTTGGGCCATACCAGAGCAGTTCTAATTGTCTAATAACACTGTTTCTATCCATCCAGAGAAGTATAATCTGTATGTAGACCTATGTATTGGTGGTACTAAATGCTGCTGGGCTTCATAATTAACTGTGTTTTTACTAGTAGCAATAATTTTCAGCATTTGAGTAGAATTGCATTGATTCTATAGGACATTGTAGGYTTCTACAGCAGTTAATACATTCATAGTGAAATAATTGGTAGTTGGGCTGAACTGAAATACAACTCCATAAACAATTGAAGTAGTACTCCATGAAAGGGTTGTTTATGTACATTATCACGTGTCCATGGATTCAAACCTTCTAGTGTACAAAAGTACCAGATTTTAACATTAACAGAGGACAGTAACAGCAAGTTTAGCAAAGTGATTGAAATGGTAAAGTCACAAAAACTATCATGATCAGGATCAGAAGCAATAGGAATCAAAGATGAGCATTAGTAGGGTCTTCATTGGAGTTTGGCCTGAGTATGCTCATAAATTTGCAGAGTCCTCTGCAAGACATGCAGGGTAAACGCATCTCCTTCTGTCTTGGTAGGACACCAATTGATGTTGACTACGCTCCTCTTCTCTCATCACCAGCAGTGAGGGCCATGATCCTATTGGAAGATGCTGATGATGCTGTTGGAGCAAAACAGTTGCCAAGAAGAGTAACAATGGGAGAAGAACCCCCCCTGCCTTCACCAGCTCCTGCTGCAGCAGCAAAGTCAGCCTCTACGATTGTCTCCAATCCATATGAAAAGCAGTATTGTATAGCGTGGGCCAAGCAAAAAAAGACAGTTATAACCGTACTACATTAGATATTCGTACATGTATCGATCAATATTCGTCGGACGGCCTACTCCCCCACGGCATTAGAAAGCTTTTTTGATTCTCTTTTTAACCATGTGCTYATCATACTTAAGCGTCCGTTGGGGAAAAGTTATAGCTGTTTGAGTGAGTTGAACCTCTCTTAATGCCCTACGTGTTTTTTGTACTGTGCGTGGATAACTGGCCATCTAATCACCGTCTAATGACTTGTGGGATTAAAATTTGACTTGTACTACTAGGCCTACAGCATGCATGTGCAAGCGAAACTACTATTCTGGTCACATGAATGTGGGATTCAACATTATTTGGTTGCACAACTGGTGGGAATAAAATTTGAGCTGTACCAGTAGTACGTTCATAGTACTGCACTGAGCACGTGCAAAAAGATAGCCCGCAATCTACGGCTGGGACCATACACTAGCTGGCCAACTCTATACAATAAGAAGAACATCAAGACTACTAGAAGGCCATTGGTGCCCCCTCCCCCCCTGCCTCCCACCAGTGCTGTTAAAACACCTCCTGCTGTCCCAGTGTACTGTGTATCCCCACACCACCAGCTCCAGCACCTCAGCAACAGGAGCCAGCACCTTCAGCAATACTCGAGGTTCTGTCTGCAGCTCCAATTGTTGTAGCCTTGTCTTTCCTTCTTTCAGTACTGCTTGCCTAGTGTTGTGTGACATGTTGGGCCTCTGTATCCTTGTAGWAGTATCATACTAGTAGTGTACAATTCTGGTTCTGGGTATTTCAAGCAGAGTTCCAAGAGTGCAAGGGGGAAGGGGGTGTATCCAAGGAGGCTGCTAGTAGTAGTGTTTTTGGCTTTGGTGGCGTCATGCAGTTTTTGGATGGGGATGGGGTCTCCCTTGAGCACTTGCTTGGTGCCATTTGGTCCTGTGATTTGGTGGCACTTCCTGCTGTCCTCCAGGTTTAGGGTCTTGTGGTGTTGGGGGGTGAGGATTTTAGGGTTGTTTGGGTGTAGGATGACAATATGGAGGACGTTTTGGCTGTGTCTGATGAGACTCTATTGTTATCCAGGGTTCCAAGGTTCTGGATTGGTTGGGGTTCCTGGGTGTGGGGTTGTAATATTTGTAAGAAGAATACAATTTTCTTGGTTTATGTCTTCTGTCTATCCTCAATGTTTCACAGGTTATGAGGAGGAACAAATGAAACTCCTTCTTATCTTGCTTTATAACAACATCGGAAAGTAACTAAATCAACAACGATAAGTTCTATAAGTAGTACTACAAGAAGCCTGGTTATTGAATAGAACACTCAACTTTCTGTAATCATAGTAGATCACAGCAAAAGCAAGTGCTATTCCTATCTCAGGTCATTGGATGGTTGTTGTTGTTGTTGTTGTTGCTAAAACACCAATGGATGAAAACTAATAGCTAGTATTACTTGGGTTCTTCCTCCAGAGCAGGGACATACTTGATTTCTTGCTGGCTTACAAGTGGACGAGTCGTAATAAAACAACCACGTTGCTATCAACCTACAGACAAGATAACTACAATGATACGTTTTCACAACAGGCAGTCCGCACGCTGATGAAGTTGAAAGCGACWGTAGCCAGTTTGAATCGCAACATAATCGGTTTCAATGAATGGGAGAACACTGGAAAATGAAAAGTGAAAATTGTGTGATTTATATTTTATTTTTCCTAGTTGTTTACATGGATGCGATCTCGGCGGAGAGATTTTCGGGGGTCATACCGTATTCCTTCATGACAATGTCACCAGGGGCAGAGAAGCCGAACTTGTCGACTCCAACGACCTTGGAGGCGTACTTGTACCAGACATCAGAGACACCAGCTTCCATGGCAATTCTCTTTGTGCACGACGAAGGAAGAACGGATTCCTTGTATTCAGCAGATTGACGCTCATAGACTTCCATGCAAGGCATGGAGACAACACGGGCTCCAGGAAGGTCGGCAGCGGCCTTGAGGGCATGTTGGACTTCAGATCCGGTGGCGATGATAATGAGGTCGAGGTCCTCAGTCTCCTTCTTGGCAACGTAGGCTCCCTTGAGGGCACCTTCACGTCGGGCCATGTAGTCCAYATCGTTGTTCTGGTCAATGTTTTGACGAGAGAAGATAAGGGCGGTAGGTCCTTCCTTGCGAGTTGCTGAGTGGGCCATGGCGGCAACAGTCTCTTCGGCGTCAGCAGGACGGTAGACATCCAAGTTGGGGATAACACGGAGTCCAGAGACGGTCTCAACAGGCTGGTGGGTAGGTCCATCCTCACCAACTCCGATAGAGTCGTGGGTGAGGATGTAGGAGACAGCTCCCAACTCGGAGAGGGAGGCRACACGGACAGTTGGTCGGAAGTAATCAACGAAGACCAAGAAAGTGGATCCAGAGATCTTGAAAAGTCCGTGGAAGGCAAATCCATTCATGATGGATCCCATGGCGTGTTCACGGATTCCGAAGTACAAGTTCTTTCCGGAGTAAGTCTTGTCGAAACCAGATCCGAAGTTACCTCCTTCGTTGATGTAGTTACGGGTAGATCCGTGAAGATCGGCAGATCCAGAAACGTAGTTAGGGACAAGGCGGGAGATCTCTTGGATGACCTTGTTTCCAGAGACACGGGTGGCCTCGGCATCTTCGCCCATGGCATCAATTTCCTTGATCATGTCTTCGGCAGGCATGGTGTTGTCAGCCACAGAGTCTTCCAATTGCTTGGCAAGATCCGGGTTGGCTTCCTTCCATGCGGCGTAGGTAGATTGCCACTCATCGTAGGTGGACTTGTTCTTCTTCTGGACATCATCGAAGAAGTCACGAGTTCCTTCGGAGACGTACCACTTCTCTCCATCGGGGAGGCCAATGTTCTTCTTGGCGTTGTCAACGTATGGGACTCCAGCCTCTCCGTGAGCGGCGTTGGTTCCCTCCGTTTCTTCCATACCCTTTCCGATGATGGTGTTGCACTTGATGAACTTGGGCTTTCCGTTGTTGTTGGCCTTGGCGGCGGCGATGGCTTCCTCAACGGCATCGAGATCGTGTCCGTCAATGTCGAATGTTTCCCATCCGTATGCCTCGTATCTCTTCAAGATATCTTCGGATTGAGTGTATTCGGCCATCTTGTCAAGGGTGACTTCGTTGGCATCGTACAAGACGATGAGGTTATCGAGCTTTTCGTGGGCGGCGAAAGCAGCGGCTTCGGAGGAGACACCCTCTTGGAAGCAACCATCTCCGGCAAGAGCGTAGATGTGGTGGTCGAAGATCTTGTGGTCATCGGTGTTGTAAACAGCGGCAGCCATCTTTTCGGAAGCGGCCATACCGACGGCGTTGGAAACACCTTGTCCGAGAGGACCGGTGGTGCACTCAATTCCGGGAGTGTTGTGTTCCGAACTAGGGAATTCAGGGTGACCAGGGGTCATGGAGTGGTGTTGACGGAAGTTCTTGACTTCTTCCATGGGAAGGTCAAATCCGGCGAGGTTCAACCAGGAGTAAAGGAACATAGATCCGTGTCCAGCAGAAAGGATGAAACGATCACGGTTGAYCCATTGAGGGTCAGCGGCGTGGTATTGCATCTGGGATCCGTACAGGCTGGCTCCGATTTCAGCGGCTCCAAGAGGAAGACCCATGTGTCCGGAGTGAGCGGCGGCAATAGAGTCCATGGCAAGTCCACGGGCTTCATTGGCGGCGGTCTGAAGGGAAGTCTTTGTGTCAGCATCGACAGCAGTGGCCTTCAAGAAGGTTGGCTGTTTGATAGTTGAAGAAAACACCGATGAGAAAAAATTACGTAAGAAAACGTCTCCGAAATAACTCTCCAATAAATTATAGGGTAGCGAGAACTATCAAAACCGATTGTAACTAATCTAGATTGCAGGCCTCAAAACGATGTAGACCAGCGCACGCCTCTCTGTGTTCTTGCCTTAGCCCGTCCTCCACTTATGCGTCGCACAGATCCAAATAGATTACACACCTGAGCAACACGGCCAATCTTGGGGGCGCTGAAGGCGTTGACGCTGGAAGCGGCAACGGCGACGGCAGCAATAGCGAGCGAGGAGAATTTCATGGTTGCTTGATGAAGGGTGGTTTTTCAACACTCTCTATTTTCTATTTGTGTCTACGTTTGTTGAATCTTCTTGGAGTTCCCAAATCAAAGACACTCTGCGACGACACATAAAAGGATTGGAAGAATGACGTCTGACACCAGCTTACGTTGTTCATTCCTTGTAACTGTACCGTACGGTCCCTGTTCTGTACTAGTTATCGCGTCGTCGACTGCTTCTCCCTGAGACCGTCTGTAGCGCGCAATCGTCAAGATGCTTTCGGGACGACGAACGACTGGCAGTGCGACGTACGTCACAAAGATTCTCACTACGTGTGAAAAACGGCATCCTGTACTTTCGAGCGTGCCACAGTTCTCATCACCGATGTGAGTCCTGACTGAACTAGTCACGGTCAATGACTCAGGAGCGGAGGGAAAATAAGCAATGAAGAGAGTTTTTGTTGATCAAATTGTTCAAAAGATTCATCTCTAATCAAATCGATCAACTACCACGAATTTCAGTAATGAATAAATCAATCGTGTGAAAACCAAACCATCACGGTGTCTACGGTCGAAGGTCTACTAAGTCTAGAGGTTAGTTCGTACTCGTACTTGTTCCAGGTACGACTCGTATCCTTGCACCTTCGTTGCACCTTGCATCTGTAAAAACTAAAGTACGAGCTGATTGACGTACCTTACCGTACCGTAAAACTTTCTACGGGAGATGTAGGTAATGTCACATTGTACTTCCTAAGTACTTCTACTTCGTACCGTACGGGAAAGGGATTCTACCGGTACGAGAATCAGATCAGAGGTACGAACTAGGTCCTCTGCTTTTAGTACGAGTACTACAGTAGCACAGATACTACTCGTACTCGTACCGGTACCGGTATTCGGAGAGGAGAGTGATGAAATGTGTACGTACTGTACCAGAATTTTAATTTGATCTTCGAAGAACGAGAAACTTAATTTCAGGGAGTGAAGGGATCAGGCTGTTAGTCGCCCTTTTCTTTAGCCTCTAGAACAATTTGAGAGATTCTATTTTTTCCTAACACCACGGACGAGAAAAAGGAACACACGAAACGACAAAGCATAGCTATCAAAATATATTGGGGCATACAGAGTAGATCAAGAGATTGACTGGTTGATTTTGCYTCCTTGAACGAAATTTTTGGCTAGATACTGTCGCGGATACGTCTTTGATTTGCGACGATGAAAACCAAACTTCCCAATCGTGATCCCCAAAGAACAAGATAACATCAGACACTTTCTTCTCGGCTTTTCAAAAAGAACCTCAACGGAAAAAGGAAAATGGCGACTGTGAAGATGACAATAAGTTGTGGGACTGAAGAGAAATTGGAACCAGAAACGGAAGGAGACGATTCGTCACAACTCGACAACAGTGCATTAGAAGCGACAATTGATCTTCTGGAAAGGTCAACTATCTATGGCGGCGGCAGTGGCCTTTGCTCTATTTCCCATCATCTACATTCCTTTTGTAGCGTCCCATTTCTTTTGCTGCCAGTTTACGCATGCGCGGGGTGTGGGGAGAAATTGCAACCCTACGTTCTTGGTGGGACCTCCTCGGGGGCTGCTGCCGTGAAATGCATGGCATGTGGCGTTTACGCGCATCGAAAGTGTGCCTTTTCAAAAACTATTAAATGGGAAACAAAATGTTCTTCGGCGAAACAAGACGATTGTATCGGCGTTAACGGTGATGGTGGCCAAATTGGGAGCGATGTCTCTTCGGAAGAAGTTGACGACGCAGAGACCCTAATAGGTGCGACGCGTTCCCAACAGATCATCTTAGAAGAAATTTTGGAAGATTCATCCAACACCGGGAGTCACTTTGTACCAAAGAAGAACGCTCAAGAATCAATCTTTCGGCGTCCATCCACACGAACAGACGAAATGCTCGCTCGCCAAGACTTTTCCGTCGTAAGGAAAGCGGCATCGGTGGATAATATTTTTAAGACGCCAAAGGATGTTCAGCAGACTCGAGCAAATTTTCCATTCTTATCATCGGCGAGTCTTCTGCCTTCTCGCCACACTTATACAAACAAAGAAAACCTTTCGATCACAATGCAAAAATGCAACACTTGGGATGGAGTGATCAAAGTTTCATCGCCCGTCGACGAGGAAGACCAAACGCAATGTAATTCAGCGTTAGAAGTAAAACATGAGAGCGACGACGAGGACACCCAACGCGAGGCTGACCACCGGGACGATGATGCGAGCACAAGCACGAAGGACATTGCTCATGAAACAGCAGCTCCGCTTTATTTTGCTAGCCATGGTTTCCAAGCTGTTTCTCAAGTACTACAAGAAAATATCATTGCAAATTTCAGCCGGCTGATTTTGAAAGAGGATTCTACCCAAGGCAAAGATRCCCATGAAATCACTGATAACGGCGGCGAGCTAGATTCAAACATAAACGACTCTCAGTCACCCGCTGATCCTACGTCAAAAAACGATGAAAAAATTCCAGACAAAACAACTATGGATGACAATAATGATTCCGAGGCCCACAGTCTTTTAGAAACCTCCGAGCCCGAGCAGAACTCAACCATGGATCGAAAACGACTTGGTCTTGCCACCGTGGCAGGGTCCATTGTTGGCGGAGTAGTAGGTGTTGGACTTGCCGGACCAGTTGGAGGTATGATTGGTGTGAAATGTGGGCAAACGGCAGGGATGCTAGGGCTACTTTTAGAAGGTTCTGTTACGGCATCGGTTTGGGCGTCGGGAATAACGGTGGGAATGGCTGCGGGTCAACGTATCCAAGAACGCCACGAAACCCACGTCCTCGCTATTGGAGAGGGCACCAAGCAACGTGCATTGTTGATGGTCCGTCCAACCATTCAACCTCCAGAACCAGTTTGGGATGAAATCTACCGGGAGGCGGGACGAAGCTATTCGGACAGCAATTCTGGGCTTGTGAATCGACTGCTCCCAACTGAAAGTCAGGCAGCTAAACGAGAACGTTACGAACGCGAGGTTGATATTGTTGAAACTGGGGAAGATGAATTAGCGATTAGCGACAAGGTTCTGCTGTTGGTGAGTCGTATTTTGAGTAACAAAGATAGCCTTCCAGGTCACATATATCGAAAGCTGATTGAAGCCTTTCGAAATAGATGCCGTGAAGTAAATCTACAAGATTTGTATCGTACAAAGCAAGACCAAAGACGAAATGACGTCGAAACAATTGAAACTGAGAAAAATAAACTCTCTGAAACCATCGGAAATGAAGATCAAAATGAAGAAAATCACCTTTMACTTATGCACCAAAGACGTCGAGATGCGCATGCTGTTATAAAGTATGTAACAACAAGCCTCTTGCTAACCCGCCCTGGCTTCGGCCATACATCTTCGTTAACAGAAAAAACGGCAACTGCGGTTGAAAGTCTTRTATTTGGAGAAATTTACGATTTAGTGATTGAAGAGATCGAAAGAGAATACCAAAACCAAGACAACCTWCTTCTAGAAAAAATTGCCGACTTTGAACGACGRCAGAATCAAGGATTGTGCTCCATTGAAACCCCGGGTAATTGCTATTTCGGTTCTGCTTCTTACATATCGGAAGCTGCGCTCGAAGCTCTGTGTTGTTTGCCACAGACACATTCTGCAGTAGACAAACTTCGATATTGTGTTGTCTTTCTCGAACAAATCTCTGAAAAATATTCGAAGTCTGCGGCGACATCGTCAATGGGGGCTGATTCGTTGCTAAAGATGGTGTGCCAACATATATTGCTAGCGAAAGTCATTGGAATCAATTGTCAAATTGCATTTTTAGAAGAGTTTGCTCGTGACGAGCAATTGCTAAGGGGGCGAGAAGGYTATGCTCTGGTAACTTTGCAGGCGTCGCTGCATTTTCTCAATGCTAGTACAAACTTTGAATCTGATATCTTTGGTGAAGATTCAGATTAGGCGATGCATTTACTGTCTTGCTTCCTTTCTGGTTAAGCTCGGAAAAAAATTCCAAACAGTTTCACCGTGGTGTAAAAGAAAAATTAGTATCTCGTAACGACGACAGAACTTTTAATGTGAAAGATAAAGATAGGGTTCAGTTGGATGCCAGTTGAACCATTAAACATTTGATTTTCGTGTATGGTTGATAAGCAGACTTGCTAAGATGATTCATTAATGTTTTTTCAGGAGTAATCTGACAATTGCTACAACCCTCATAACTACTGCTGTGACTTACCACATAGCAATCTCCAAATTTCCAYCTAGCAATTTGGTGGTTCTGGAATCTGTGTACAAAAACACTCTGCCTAGTACAAGGAGTTTTGTATATGCTTGTTGTTCCTTTAAGAAGTTGTGAATGCCAGTGCTGATTCATTGCTTGTTCTTTTTCTTCATCACTTGTTGTTGTTGTTGTTGTTGTGGTGGTGGTGGTGGTGTTCTCATAATGATGAAGTGCTGTGGTTTGAGTGTTACAGCACTCTGAACAAGAGGGATGCAGTCTCCATACCGTAAGACTTCTCTACTAGTAAATCAGCATGCCTCATATCACCTTGGCACTATTTTGCTGCAAGAATGCCTGTTCAAGAATGAGTCCCAGTGTTTTAGTAGTACTAGCCTAATTGTACTAGTAGAGGTATGCAAGTGGTTGGCTTATTTGGTTGGCTAAGAAGATGTGCTTCTTGACTACCACTTCTTGCTTGTGCATACTACTTAGAACCTTGATGGTTTTTGCTACTCTGGACTTCCTGAAGAAAAGAAAGGAACTTGTTTTTTTGGGGTAGAATCCATTTATGCTTCAGTACCCCCACCAAAATTGCAAATAAATTAGTACTTGTACATTGATACTAAAAACCAAAAAATAGTTCTTTTTATCCTTGCACTAAGATTTTGCACCAAAACAAATTATTTGCGTTGCCCACCCTTGTCTGTCTGTTGCTCCTGAAAATAGTTTACTGTACTTCAAAACATCCTTCCTCACATATTTTTTGTTTGTTWAGTCAAATTTTGGATACTGGCCCTGAATATGTGTCATTACAGTTGGGCTTATGTAGGATTGTGTACATTCATTACCAGGAACTTCCTTTGTCACTATTACTCTTATTTCAACTACTGGTTACTATCACTACTGTGCTTGTTGTTCTCCCTCAGCAGCAGCAGCAGCAGCAGCAGCAGCAGCAGCAGCAGCAGCAAGAACTTGCCTCCCTGCTACAATGCAGTCAGGCTTGCAAAAATTGAAACTGGGAGCACATCTTTCAAGACAAAAGGCCAGATCCCAATTTTGCCATCAAACCAAGCATTATGATGGTGCWAATCAAACCTTGGACATGCTGTGGCACACAAGAATATATCCTTTACCATATGGTTCTTAGACTTTGATGTAGACTTAGGTTCATCCTCATTAGCAAGCAGTCCTCTTCAAGTAGAACCATTTTTCACTGATATGAATCCAATTGAACCAATTGTTGAATCTTCTGCTTCTTTCATCAGTGTGAAACAATATCTATTCAACTTGTTGCAGCACAGTTTATTTGCAGGAGTTACTACTAGTGACTTCTTACTCCCGTTGTGCCTTTTAAGAATTGTACCATGCTTTACCATACAAAGAAGARATGTCTTTAGAATTCCAGTTGCAGCAGAGGAAAGACTTCTTAGATCACCTTGATCTTTCAGCAGAACATTCCTTACAACCTCATCTAATCCATCCAAATGCCTCAGTTTGCAACCAGAGTTCACCAGCAGGGCAAATGATGGGATCCACAGTTTGCTTGTGCCCTTTCCAAACCCTTGCAATTGTCCTGATTGATATGTCACAGGTTGCTGTCGCTTCCTTGAGGACTCCCCTTTCCAGAATCATCCCTCCAGTAGATCTCTGATTGTTTGTGAGGTTCTTGCTCAGATTTTACTTGGAGGAGAGGTGTTGCTGCTTGAACCGCTGCTAGTATTTGGTGAAGAGTCACTGCTTGAGGAATCACGGCTGCTGCTTGGTGAGGAGCTGCTGCTGGATGCTGCAGAAGTATTGTCAGAGTAGTCTTGAGTCTGCAATCATTGCATCTGTGTTAATTTTTTTAGACAGAATCAAGGGGGGATTTAACCCCAGATAAAATAAGACCATGTACAATATGTAGAATCAGTACCAGATACTAGAAATGAGCATGCGCGTGAAAAAATAATAATTTTTGACACATGAAAATACACCCTATTAACATGGCAAGTTCAATTTTGACAATGGTATGGTGCACCTCTTTTGAATACAAATGACCAATATAAGAAATCAAACAATACTAATCTGAAGTCTCCAATAATACTAAGTATTTGCTATCATGTGCAAGTAGCGGCTTATCAAAACGACTGTTGGAACCCTCTCAACCAGCAGTAACTTAAAAATGACATTAAAAAATAACCCCATTTGAAGCTTTATAACTTTATTATTGCTTGTGTGACAATAAAAGGTATTACACATTCAAATAGCGTTAAATAAGATGAATGGAATAAAAAAAGAACCATCTAAATCACCCAAATATTGAGCTTATTCCAATAGTAGTAAACGTGGTGTTACTAGGGTACAATTGGCCACGGTGCACTGCACTGCACTTCACTAACTTTAGTGCGTGGTAGCCAGGAGGACTTACCGAGGAAACAAAAATAAACTTGTTTTGGTGTGGATTTGTACAAACCCTGGTATCTCATTTTTTGCAAATAAATTAGTACCTTGACCAAAAACAGATTATTCATTTTTAACTTAAACATTCAGTCATTATTGTGACAACAAGTCATTCTAGCAATAACCTAGTTTTTGCACCGTAGTAATTTTTTTTGGCTGCCGCCCTTAAAAAAAACAACGGCAGCGGCTGCAGCCAATCATTCTTGGATGGAGGAAGAAGTAGTACCAGCAGTTAGTAATTCGTAATAGAATTACACCTAAAATTAACACATAATCCTGCCCCACTACTACTGTAACTTCGTCAGACTAGTTCTAAGCTGCCAGAGGATCCTTAAGCATCATCCCAATGACCTGGATTGCTCAATAATTGTATCATCCTCTTGGTCTGGGCAATTACTACTAGTCTGGTGGTCTAAAGTTGTTTTTTGATAGTAGAGTTCTGGCCTATTTTCTAACCAGCAGCTGGTCTCAAAACTGGCCAATTTTGGCCATACTGACTGTTAATGGAGAACCAGCTCCCCCTTGGGCTCTAATTGTGTAACAATGACACACAGCACTCTTGTTCTTAGTAGTAACAACACTATGACTGAGCATATCCCCAAGCCAAAGGGGATCTCATTTGAGCCGGTTCTTCTTGAGCTGTTGTGGTTAGCTTATTGAACTGTTTGGGGTTGAAAGAGTGACCCTATGTAGGATCAGTACTAAATACTGGGCTTCAAAATTAACAAATTTAACCATCATGATGCTACTAGTAATAATTTTTGGCGTAAATCAGTTTGAGTAAAATTACTTTTTTCCATGTAGTATGCGGTAGGCTTTTTACGGTTAACGCATTTTATATCGAATCAACTGGTATTCTTTTGTCGACAGGTACCGGTAGTCTGCCCTTCATCAGAGACGTTCAAAACTTGGATAATACCCCCCGCCACAAAATTATTCTGCAAGTCAAATTAACGTGAAACAGACGGTATGTTTCAAAGCTCACACAAAATCTGAATTTTTAATACTAACGAATTGTAGTTTGCTCCGGCACAATCAATACTTTCTTGTTAATCGAAGTTCTGTTTCCGGTATTCTTAGCTGCATCGCATTAAGAATTCCTACAATGGCTTCATTTGGGCTGGCAAATCCTAACGCAGCGATGGGCGGAACAACAGGTCCCGTCGAAGTTGCGACTATTTTTTCTGCAGCTTCGGAAGGTAACCTTGCGTTGCTACAATCGTCCATGACTCAATTGAACTTCGCCGTTACTGCCGCCGACGAAAATGGATATACACTATTGCATGCTGCTTCCTCTTACGGTCAGCTTGGAGTGCTTCAATATATCCTAAGCAATCTCGACAGGAACAACCCAACCCTCACGGCCTTTATCAACGCAGGCGACAACGACGGCGACACGGCACTTCATTACGCTGGAAATGCAGATGCGGCTCGAATGCTGGTAGAAGACGGAAGAACTGACACCCACAAAGTTAATAGTCAGGGTAAGACTGCTTTACAAGCCAAGACTGAAGAATTGGAGGAAATGAAGCAGGACGAAGATATAGAAGATGACGATGAAGACTTAGAGGCTGCGCAAAAGTTGATAGAATACCTATCGACTCTGCCATAAAAAATTATGTGTTGAAATTATTTTCCAAAAGAGAAAGGCAGGAAAGCTGAAATACAAGAATGTAAAGATCTATGAAGAAAAGAAATCGTGATCCGCGTTCTTACGATATCTTAATAATCAATCAAAAATCATAATTTGAGAATGGAAAGATTATCTGTTTCTGGGGGGTCATTTTGCGATGCAAAGATGTGCTATGGTATATGGGAAAGCAAATGAAAATGAATTGATAGAACATTTTATCAGAAACTGGATTGCAACAAAAACTTCCGAAACCGGGGCTGGACCTGGACAACAGGGCGCATCGGCCAAAGCGCTTGAAAAGTATGTCACGAATGAAGGTTACGACTACCTTTTCCWCCGAAGTGGACATTGAATTGTTCCTCGTGACGAATTCGCGTTCGTTCAGGGCTAATGCTTCGTGGATGCTTCAACGCCATGACTGCACTTCACTCCATCCAATTCTGATTTGCTTGTGTAATACGACCCAATAGACAGCAACAACAATAGTAGATCAATGAATCATCATAAGCTTCCAAACTATGAATAAAAGGATGGAGTATGGATCATATCTCTATTTGAAGCATACAAGCAGTACCAGTGAATAGTGTGACGTACTTGTATATCCATACTATTAGGTAGTAAAAAGTAGGTGTCAGGTAGACAACAAAACAGAAGATCCCTTTGTTCTGAATGCACCAGTGAATAAGAAATTCATTCTTGTAAAGGCGATATTACTAGAAGCACTAGCTACTGCTGGTTCTAATCTTCTGCATAAAGAGAGCAAGGAGAGGATGGGAGGAGGAGGTCCTTGACACAAACGCGAAGACGACGAGGAGGAGGAACTGGTGAAGATGATATTCCTTGTAGCTACTGCTATTTCTAGCAGTAGTACTACGTCGTACTACAATTACTAGTAGTACTATAGTACTGCTGGTAGTGATAAAAGCAACAGCAGAGCAACAACAAGAACGTAACAGTTACATCATATTTTTCTTCTTGTGCGCAATTCGGGTAACAATCTAGAAAGGTTACGGTATTCTCAGATTGTAAGTTCTTCGTTCTTGCCTTCTTCTACCGTTGGTACGGTGGGAGTACGCGGGAAAGGCTTCTTGTAATCATTCTTTCGTATCTTTCGTACTTCTCAGAGTATTTAATTTTTACGTCCGGAACATAGGAATCTCGTTTTCGAAAAAAAAAAGCGAGTCGTACGGATAGCTGTTCTTTTCGTAGTAACGCTATGGTACGTATTTTACCAAGAAGCAAACGTGTTTTTCTTGGGCGCGAAAACTACAGAAGTGTGATTGAAGAAATCTATTCTTGACACCAGAAGTAGGGCATAATAGCGACCACAAAAAAGAATTGAACAAAGGCCTACGGTACTCGTAGCATACAGAGATCCAAGACCAACACATTTTGGAAACTTGTTCTTGACCCAGCAAGTGCCGCGGGACCGATAGATCACTTCTAAGATTTTGATTCCTCACGTCTTTCCCCCTTCTTGATCCCTCTTACCGGTCGTGATGGTACGAGTTTGCCAACCTCACAATTTTCCATCACTCTATTTTTACTGACTTCGATTCCCTCTCAAATTGCATTGAATCCTCTATCACCGTCAGAAAAGTATTTTCGATTGCATGTATTGCATTGGGCAGGCAACATCTGACGCAACACAATAGCGGTGAATATACCAAGTTCATTGAAACCATCCACTCGAATGACAAGGCAAGAAACGATCATGGACTCCTTTCCTCTCCCGCCTCTTTACTACGATTCCAGCAACGACACTACAAGCATCGAGAAGACGCATGGCAACGAGAAGGACAGTTGCGCTCTTCGTGTTAGAGGAACAGCGGCAAATGGATCTGCACCTAATCGTTACTGCCACCACAACGGTACCATGCACATCGGAAAAACCAGAAGCCATCGCCACGACGAATACAACGCCTTTGAAGTTTCACCACTCCCTTTATCGCAGTTAAGATCGCAATCACMTCATTCCTCCTTCTCGTCATCCTTTTCTTCCTTCGTAACATCACCTCCTCGTTCGTATGCACCACACTCGTACGATAGGTTCACGACTGCAAATCCTCCGAAGACACCCTCCTCCGTCCACACGGCCGAGACTCACCTCGTGATGACTCCGGGAAGCAGCATTGCTTCGCTGGGGTCTCCAACTTCGAATGGCTACTGTTCTTCCTCCTCTTACAGTGGTACAGGTACCCCTCGCAGTCCTAGACGGCAATCTTATCCGTCGACCACATTCTCACCTTGTTGTTCACTTCCAGAGGCCATCGCTGTGGTCATGACTAATGATGCGGTGTCCACGAATAACACACAGGCAGGTACTTTAAGAGCTACTACGGTGAACACTACGAAGGACTTTATACCCACGGCAGCATGTCGTACGCACCCAATGGAGCAGCAACAACACGCATTGCAGACAGAGAAGAAAAATAGACCACGCAAGAGTAGCCTCTGCCTAGAAGATCTGCTGGATGTCCACAACGGCAGCAATCATTCTTGCAATAGCAATAGCATCAACAAGAGCTTCAATAATAGCAGCAGCAGCAGCAGCATCTGCGTTCCTGCCTCAACCTCTTCTTTCGACAATCATGATTCGTTTGCTTCTACGCGAAGCAGGTACAGTAGCGCCAGTAGCAATAGTGTTTTGAGCGGCCGAGGCAAGCAAAACAAGGTCAAAACGGAACTCTGCATGAACTTTGTGGCGGGCAAGGTTTGTCCCTTTGGTATCAATTGCACCTATGCGCACGGGGAGCACGAACTCCAAACCAAGACGCTTCTAGATTTGCATAACACTGGACTCATCGATGACGCGGCCACTTATCGAGTCAAGCCCTGCTTTTCGCACGTGGCCATGGGATCCTGGTGAGTAGGTACTTCCGTTTTATGTTGTCTATTTGTTATGAATGTCGAGCGCTGCAATGCATCTTCCCGTGATACAGCCTCTCGTGGTTGTTTTTTCATTCCTCCACTCAACAGTTCGATGTGAATGCGTGTCTTTTTTATCTTCCTTTGATCCTTCTCTGCCCACACGCACGCGAAATGCACTTTTCTTTCCTCAAATGCAAACAGCCCATTTGGAAAGCGGTGCGCCTGCCTCCACGATCCTCGAGTTGCGGGACATATCAACAACAAATCTTGGCTTCCCATCACAGAGACACAAGGGAACAACATTGCCACGGATATCAACGTCGAAGGCCTGCACCAGAAAAGACGATTCACCATTCTCTATGGGAACCCTTTTGTCGGTGGGCCACAGTTCGAGGCTCTCCAACTAGCAGCCTTTGGAAACACCGCAAACCACAAAGCAAATCGCAGTGACGGAGAAGCCAATGGCACAGATTTCAATTCAGAATACAACTACTATTGGGATGATCTCTACAATCTTGTCTCTAACATCACGGGCAATGTAAGCAACAACCATATGAGCGGCAAAACCGGAAGGAAGACCAACACAAATAAATGCGATGATTTCATTGGCGCCCGGAGCAAGCGTAAGAATCATAACCGCCGCGGAAGTAAAAACACGAATAATCCTCCGTTGTCGGAAGCCCAAAAGCTCTCTATCGCTCTACAAATGCACGGTGGAACCCACAAGTGGATGTATAAATACCGTCCTTCCCACGTCATTTTTGGAGAAATGTGCATGGTCCTCGACAAGCGAGCCTTTCAGCTGTTTCATAACTGCACCCATAATACAGGAAGAACGACCACCGTTGCCATTCCTCTCCCTCTTTCCAAATACAAAGCCTGCAATCCCAATCATTGCCTCGTTCGCGAAATTGCCYTTGGGCCTGACCAAGATCCATCCGTGCGCCCGGTATGTATTTTGAAAAAGCAGTCACAAGGGAGCTGTGAATAATGGTGGTACTTCATCTCTCACCTGTGCTCTTTCATGCTACCTGCTATTGCTTCACCATTTCTTCTTTCAAATCGCTTCGATGCTTCCAAAAGGTTGCACTCTGGTTCAACATTCCCGAAGACCAGGTCACCGAGTGTACACTAAACCAGCAAAAGCGCTTTCGATGGCGGAAAAAACAAAATCCAAACAAGTGCAATCGTTTCGGTGATAGCAAAAACAATTGTTACTCCCGGGTCTCAAACACATCTCCCTTTGATTATCGCGATTCGTTCGCAATGATTCGTCCCATGGATCGCGAAGCCTTCTCATTGGTAAACAGCATCCTCCTGCATCGCTACGAAACGGTCCAAGCATCGATGATTAAATCCATCAGCGAGCGTTCCGCTGCCCTCCAGGCAGTCGCTGAAAAGTACACAGTCCTCGAAGAACAGTTCGACCATCTCAAACGATTCTGGGTCGCCTGGACCTATCCAAGTTTCCCGGGCCGTCCACCTATCGACGAGAACACTCCCGTTCCCCAAGTGGATGTGAACTATGTCCTGAGTGACAGCACAAGGGAAGCAGCGAATCATTCAGATGGTCCCCAAAATTGTCGAAATGAAACCAATCGTATATGGGAGTCCTTTCTTGCGACCTTGAAAGCCACCAGAGATGACCCGAATCGCYTCTCGGTGAAACCCACGCCTATGACTTCTTGGTTCCTTGACGACTGTAACCACACCAACTACAAAGTTGGAAGACATAAACGTCTCCCGATCTTTGAGCAGTTGAGCCGCGGTGAAATTGTCGATCCTTGGAACCGTTCCCTCCCTTACATCAAGGAGGATCCACGCGATAGCAACAAAAAAAGTACCTGCAGCACCAAGATCGACGACAATGAGAATCACTCCGACGAACGCCAACCGAAGCGTTCGTATCTGCGTCAAAGTGAACGTTGCTGGAAAAGCCTGCTCCTTTTGAACAATGACCTGCATGAAAGCGAATGGGACGTCGTTATGGATCATTTTACAAACTACTCTCGATCGAAAAAGGTGTTGAACATTCTTCAACAGTGAACCGAGCGTCTGGAAACACTACTCGAACCTGTAGGGAACGTTCATGGAATTTCTCTCCTTATGTTGACACTATACAATGGCATCACAATTGGAGTAGCAATGCATCGATTTTAAAAAAGAGTTACAATGTGATCTATTGCAACATTCCATGAGTATTGCTATGCCCTAGTACCCTATTATATTACTAGAACACGAGCTCTATGGCTATTAATGCAAGGAAAGCCCTCCACTCGTCGCGTAAGCCAAAAACAGGCAGGCAATGCCCCCTGCAATATAGAGAGGATCGTCGCCGCTGATTTGAAGGAACCTGGGCTTTTCTTTTAGATAACCACCCCCAGCTCCCTGTACCAATCGGTCTTCCTCCGCATCGACGTTCTTGGGATTTAGAAGAATTTTTTCGAATATACCCAACGCCGAAGATTTCAGTTCTTTCCTCCGCCGGACCTCGTAGTCCTCTCCAATTATCCCGTTGTTTCCACTCACGTTCGTGCAGCTTTCGATCGCCGATACGCATTCGGCAATGCTTCCACCTCTATCCATGACATCTGCAAGGGCATCTAGACAGCCCAAATGAAGCCGTAGTTGAGTCATAGTGTAACCCATGGCGAACCGTATCCTGGGAGAAGGAGAAAGGTTTAACGGGGTTAGTCGAATGAATCGTTGACAATTCAATAAGATTCAAAAATCCTTTTTACATGTTGCGTTGCTTTGCGTTGACCCACCTGTTTTCTTTGTCTCTTTCAGTGAGTTCTGGTTCCGCATTTGCGAGAATCTGTTGGAGTTGATTGATGTCTGCAAGACCACCCTCTGCATATCCATAGGATATGATCTCAGCACAAACACCCGCACAACTAACAACCGCCAACTTGTCCACAGTTCCATGGTCGAATCCGCGGTACGGCCAAGAATTCCTGGGTTGATCCTCCGTTGCAATTTTGAGAAACGGATTGTTTCTGTAATCTTTCTTGTTTCTAAAGACCGATTGTGTTTCAAGGTCCATCGCTCCGCTTCCTTCGGGACTAAAGAAAGGGGCATCATTAACACGTGGTCTCGCCCTTTCTGTTTGGCTCTCATCACCGCGGGAGATGTTTCGGTCGAACCCCAACATTCGAGCTTTGTCTTTCCCTACGTCCTTATCACTCAAAGGATAAAACTCGACTGCATTTTTTACTGCATTTGTAGAATATCCTGCGATTGGATATCCGAGAAGATGAGCTATCAAGAAGTGACCTGCCTCGTGTTGAACCATTCGTTTGCGGTAAACAGGAAATATTTGGCGTTGGACCGAAACCAGAAATGCCTGCAACTTATCCGTAGAACCAATGCCAAAGCCAACTAGTGCACTACATTACAGCCGGAGAATGGTTGTTTCACGGGCATTTTGATCAGACATAGCGACAATGTATCATCGATGTATTTGCAACGATTGAGTTATCAAAACTTACAGTGGTGCGAAAGATAGTATCCATACAACTGCGAATCGGAAAATCTCCGGCCCAGGCAGATTCTCGTTCGCCACGATTGCACTCAAACTCGAAGCAACAAATGTGCCGAACACAGCGGCCGAAGCTCTATCTGCATCGCGATCCCCGTTCGTGTCGATCAGATCAAAAATTCCGTATTTCATGTTTCGTACTTTGGTCTGGATTGCGAGGTCTCCGTCGGATATGCTTCTGTCGGAGAGGCCGGGTGGGATTTGACTGGATCCGAACAAGGGTCGCTTGGCATTATTGCCGTCTGCATCGAGAAATAAAGCACGTTCCAACAACCTGCGAGCAGCCGTTCCCGACTCGACGTCTTTCAATTGGCTAAGCAAATCCTCATCAATCTGTCTGCTGCGAGGCGACATTTTCCCGGTTTGTTTGGTCGAAATGTTTGTATCGCCGGACTCCAGCGACGTGGAACTGGGTGTCCTTATCCTGTGACCAGGAACAGAGCCATTCGATCGACCTGCTGTCTTTGGTAGATCGAAGCCACCAACCGTAGCAGGAAGCGAGTTCAAAGAGAGCAAGATTCCCCACAGAATGCAAGTTTTCTGTGTCGACAGCATTTTGTTCTTGTTGGAGAGCGAGGCAGAAACAAGCAATTAGGCTACTATTCAACCTTAGCACGACAAGCTGCCTTTCAATGTGAAGTCTAAAGATGTCTTTCTCGACCAAGTGGGTTTCTCAGCGCTGGCTAATTCGAAATTTGGAATCAGAAGTTGTCGATATCGATTGCGTAGTTTTTCCACGAGAGGAGTTTTCTGTCGTGAATTCGTTGTCGGCTGCTTATCCGATGATGTGTTATTCAGTGTTCCTCTCTACCTGTACGTACCGTACCGTAGTTCAGGCAGTTCTCCTAAAAATGCGACACGATTTGAATACAAATCAAACGAGTCATCAAGTATGTACCGTAGAAAAACTAAAAAATGCATACGGTACCTACTACCCTTTATGAGATTCTTGTACTTAAAGTACTTTATAGCGTAGGTAACGAACGAACATTACACTAGAACACTGTGGAAAAGTAACTATGATTTATGGTACAGTGAAGCGGGAAGCGGACGGGTCGACTAGATAGTACACTTAGGTAGATAGTACAATTCAACCGAATACAGTGGAGAGGGACAAATATACCAATAGAAGCTATGAAAACGCAGCTTTATGGTTTGTGGATGAGATAGTAAAATGTGCGAAAAGAGAATTCATTCATAGCTGAGCCATACGATAAAATAAGGAACCACTGGTACTACTACTAGTGCGACCACAGAGGCTGGTGCTGATGAGGAATGTTTCCAGCTTGCACAATCCAGAATGAATCTAATCCGAAACCAAAGATGGGGTATGTGCAATTCTTCCTCTCGCTGGCAGTATGGATAAGGTGGTTTCAGCTCTTCCTTCATTCATCCTTTCACTAACATATTCTACATCCCAACCACTCATTGAATCCATAACAAGAGTTGAGTTGAGTAGGATGATCAAATTCATACTATTTGTTACAGCCACTGAAAGTCTCTGACTTCGAAGCGATAATCCCAGTGCATATCTATCTATCCGAAGTCTGACACACGACCCGCAGTTTTCTTCACGAAAAAAGCCGCTTTTGTTCCGGCTTCCTATCTTTTCGTTTTGTTTCTTGTGGTTGCTCAGCAAAAGAAAGATCCTCGGCAACGCAGCAGTCGGAAAAACATAAACAGATCAATTGCTGCTAGCAATCCAATCATGACCTTGAGCTTGTTTTTCTTTTCTCGATATTTAGCTTGCAGAGCAATCAATTCCCGCTTGGTTTCTTCCGTTAGTTGCCTCGTTTCCCAGACGTCGTTGTTGGCACCCTGAATCTGTTGGCGCTGTCCGTGCAATTGATTCAACACAGCATTGGCGGTTTCCTCGGCCTGGTATTGCGTCGCGATAGTATCCTGGAGGGTGGACGTTTGTTGCTCGGCAACAGTCTTTTCGGAGTAGGATTGCTGGTACGAATTGAATCGGTTGTTTAGTCCACCACTTCCCGGAGCCGACATGATTTTTWAAAAAATTAATAATTCTGAAGGCAACTATGGGTAAAGACTGTCTCTGTTTCACTTTTCCTACTAAACCCTCGGCCCTTTGCTGCTATCCTCGTGGTTTGGGAATGATGGCTTGTCTTCGAAGAATTGACTTGCACAGATTGATCGATTTTTGGGAATTAGGGAGTGCTAGGAAAACTGCTCTGTTCTTCTTTATGGTAGGCTCCGGAATGATCTAATGTTGCTTTTTGTTTAACGTTGGCTTTACTTCTGTCGGCAGTGATTCGTTTTTTCGATTCTGTCGAAGATTCAGCCGCGTTATGAAGTTTGTTGTCTCAACTGTCATTTCGTTGAAACTGTAGCTGTTTGTTTCCTGTCTCTTCACACATTACACCTTCAGTGTTCGACGCGGCACGCGCGTGTCGGTTTTCAATTCAAAAACTCGGGATGTCGTCCATTTGGGGGAGGGGGGGGGGTCAACTATTTTTGCTCGCAACAGCGCTTACGACAACATGACGCATTGCAACTACATGACGTAAATATGATACATATGATACATATGATACATACGTACTTGTACACCGGAACGATGATAATGAAAAAGCTACCGTACGTACTGGTACCGGAGACAGGGGTCATAGGGTTGGGGTTCCTAAATTTATGACCCCTGCCGGAGATATGTACCAGTACTCGTAATAAAAGGGGAGTTTCCTGCTTCAGCTTGTGGACTGTGGACATCAGAAAGTAGAACGTCGTTCGTCGGCTAAAAGAGTGCTGGTAAAGTGCGTGTGGACAACTATTCTAACCGATGCCACAAATGCACTTTGCAGCAAATAGAAGTCTACCAAATACACGGTAACAATATTTCTAGCTATATTTTTCATAGTACTTGTCCAGTTTTCTCACCTTCAGGAGATTCAGAGGAACCCGTGCGGTTAGAATTGATGCGGCCCCCAGGAGTAACTTGCCTATAGGCTTTGCTCCCCTAAAACCGCTGCCTGCCGTCAACAAGCCAAGCCCTGCTTGCAATAGTACGCCTAGGAATATCACTTCATAACTGTTCTGCAAAACAATTTTGCTTCTCTCGTTCTGTCGTTCCACTTCGAGGGCCCTTACACGGAGTTTAAAGTCGCCCTTCTCGAGACGGTCGGCAATGTCTTCGACCTTCGCGGTTCGTCGTGGTTGCGTTATGAACTGGTTGATGTCCTCCGGTCGAAGGCCAACACGTTTCCCGATGCGAAGCAGCGTTGTTTTCAGTGCACTTCCGTCCTTAAGATCAATCAATTCCTTCAGGTAGGGAACCATGATCCGTGTCAAATCGTATTTGGGATTCAGGGTTTTACCGATTCCGTCCAACGTGAAAAAYGCCCTTAGTACGAACGTCCACGTAGGGGGGAAGATGAACGGAGAGTCTCTGTTCAGCGACAAGAATTCTTCTCCCAGCTGAGATCGACGTTGCCGGATGATTTTCTTTTGCTCTTCCTCCRATAAATCGGTTTCCCATGTTTCGTCTTTCCGTAACGTGCTCTGGAAGCGATCGATGAAGTCCTGTCCCACACGCTCGATCGCCACACGGTCCAGATCGGGTCCAGTGCGAAGCATCCCCATCCGTTCCAACGCATCGCAGGCATCCTTCACACTATTGTCGTAGTATACGGCAAACATAAAGTCTACGAAACCTTTTCGTTCCACCGCGCCAAAGGAATCCATCATACCAAAATCATAGAAAATCAGTCTCGCCTTGCCATCGGGACCCTTTTCGACCGAGATATTTCCTGGGTGGGGATCGCAATGGAAGAAGCCATGGCGACAAAGTTGTTCCAAAAATGCCTCGGCGGATTTTGTAGCAATGTCGACAGGATCAAGTCCCAGTTCGTTGATTTTCTCCATATCGGTGATTTTAACACCGGGCACGTACTCCATGGTCAAAACCTGACTACTGGAGTATTCTGGGTAAACATCGGGGACACGAATGTGCCTCCACTTGGGTTTATCAAAATTTTTGCTGCATTTGGGAAAAAAAGCCATCAGCCGAACAGAGTCAATGAATCACCAGGGCACACAACCTACAATAAGAAAAGGAACGAACTCAACTCACCTGAACTTCAAACCATTTTCCAACTCGTTCGTGTAGTCGATCTCCTCGTACAACAAGCGCTTGTTCTCTTCGTACACGCTGACCCAATCGCGCTGCGTGTTTTGGTCGAACAGGCCACCYTCCGATGTCATGTCCACCGCATCCGCAAACACCGCGAGCTGCCGAAGCTGGCCCAGGTCGACCTCGAAGAGGGCTTTTAGGTACCTCCTCTGGACCTTGACGGCGAACTTCTGGTCGCCCTTCGTCGCCAAGTGGACCTGACCCAGGGAAGCACCAGCAAGCGCCTTCTTCTCAAAAGTGTCGTAAATCTGATCAATCGGTTTTCCGAGTTCTCGTTCGATGATCTGAACCGCCGTCTCTCCGGAAAATGGGGGCACGTTGTCCTGCAGTAATTTCAATGATTCGATATACTCTTTTGGCACAATATCGATTCTCGTTGAAAACAATTGACCGACCTTTAAACAGAGGAAAAGGATCGCGTTAGCAAAAAACACAAAATAAATCAAGGCAGGTGTTGGAAACAAATTTTGAGTGAACCATGTATGGCACCAAAGGCCAGCGCTCTATGCGTACCTTGATAAAGGTGGGCCCCAGCCGCAGCAGGTTCTGGGTGATTTCCGCCCCTAGTCGCGATCGTTCTGCCGAGAATTTCTCCTCCGACCACTTGCCGCTCTCGAACTTTTTGCAGATTCTTCGGTCCTTGAGGTAAAAGGACGAAAAATACGCCCAAACCTCCGCCGATCGCCTCAGGACGGCCCACTTCTTGGCCCACGGCCCCTTGGCCGCGATTTCTCCGGTGCGTTTCCAACCGGACTGAAAGGCCTCGGCCTCCTTGAGGTATTGTTCGTAGGTCGTGTCTTCCTTTTTGCGGTTGCTCTTTTTCGGTCCACCCGACGTCTTGATGACATTGGCAAGGGCCTTGTAGGCCGACAACAGATAGAGCGTGGGCATCGCAAGGGTCTTCTTCGACTTGCTGGCCCAGCGATAAATGAGAGCCACCGAGTAGTAGAGCGGTGCAACGTTGAGGTTCGAAATCAACTCTTTCGTGGTGCCCTTCTGCGCACTGCGCCTGAGTGTGGAATTGGCGCCCGCCAGAACGAGCTTKGGCTGAAGGTCTAATGCATCCGTCCCGTTAAAGGCGTCCGGTTTCTTGTCCGACATTTCGTAGAGGGGGGCGTCCGAAAAGGCAACCCGCTCCAGCGGATCGACGAATATTTTCTCGAGCTCCTCGATCTGCCGCTGGACCTCTTCCTCCTGGGCCTTTCGGATTTTGTTGGCCAGATCCGCGACGTATACGGACAGTTCCTGGGACTTTGCGTCCGACAGCTGGAGCTGCTCGTCGAGGACCTTGGTGATGTCCTCCATGATTTCAGTGGATCCTTCGTTGATGCGCCCGCTGATTTCGTTGAGGAGCTCCGTCATGGAGACGTTCACGTCCGTGGCCATCGCCGCGAGATCGATCGGTTCCGTGGCGTTGGCGGAATCGGCAGCGATCAAGGTTGCCTCGGCAGAGGCGTCGCCATTGACCTTTGGCATCAGGTGCGAGGACCCGTCGCTTTCTCCGTTCGTTGAGGTTTCTTCGTCGAGGGCTTTTTGGTTCTCGTCCACCGTGGCGTAGTAACCGTACGGCCRGCGGCGACTGGACCGAAACGAATCCTTCGTGGACAGAGTGGGCAGCGGAGACACCATCGATTGCGACGTGAATCCTTGCGCCACAAACGAACCGCAATTATTGTCTTCCGACGAACCCCACCTCCGGGTGGGGGCGAACAGCGCCAGGAAACAAAGCGCATACGCCGAGGGATTCATTTTGTGTGTATGCGTTCTTAGTTGCACAAAAGCCGTGCAGGATTTCACAAGGGCGCAGCGTATCGGCGCACGAGGTGTTCCCGGAGTCGGACGAAACGCGTTGTGGATAGGGTTGAGATCAGATGCTATGCGATTCGACGGTCGCTKTCAGAGTTGATGTATCTCTTGCAGGTGCTGTTGCTTTCTTTCTCGGCGAGACAGTTGAACGAAATAAAAAGGCCACGAGAACCAGCACAGCGCACAGCAGTAATAATGGGTTCGGTCCGTATTGCAGTCAACGGATACAACGAAGGCGCCAAGGGAGGTTTTCCGATCGAACAGAGAAGATGAGCAACCAGGCCCTTCAAACGAAAATTTGAAGAACACACCCCATCTTTATCTGCCAAAAAGCGTTCAAGCGTTCAACGTGGAATACGAGTACGAGATTTGCCGTTCCGCCTTCAAGAAGGAACGGAACACAAATCAAAGCAACAACGATCGATCAGAGCATGTCGGTCTGAACGAATCTCGTTCGCCGCGCACTACCTACCTTGCCGCTACGTAACTACCGCTCAGTCGTACGGTGCGAGCTACGTAGTATCGTGTCATTGTACGCGCCGTAGTTTCCGYCTGTACCAGTTGGTCTGCCCGTGCGAGGGGTTCGCGTACTGGAAAGAAAAAAACAATGATGACGTATTGAATCTATCCGTGCCGATATCCATTTCCGTGACAAATGAATCAAAAGCACAATCGAGTCGAGTCACGGATCTAGGAAAATCTAGAACAATCTCTGCTCTGAAGGGAGCGAACTGCGAGTACGAGTATCAGTATTGTAGGATTGTCCTTACTCTAGTACGTACGGTACGTACGGTCTACAAATCAATTGCGAAAGACGCATGCAGTGCTAGGCACGTTAGAATTGTAATTCAGACACGCTGTGCTTCGATTCTATATCCCGGCGGATGGACTCTGCGAACGCAACCGGGCCTCGSAGGTGGTGAGAATAGCGGTGGAAGCTAGCACCGGTATCGTGAGTTCCGCCACGCTGCGCCGGCACGGCTTGCTGTACCGCCGGTAGATCATGTCGAGCCGCGACGACGACGTATGAAGACGGATCGTTTCCGCGTCGTTGGATAGCCGCACCGAGCACCCGACCAGGTCGCCCAGCTGCAGCCCCGTGGCGTGTGCAAGTGCATCGGGCCACAGGGAGGCAACGCCGCCGTCGTCTCGCAGGGCATAGCGGGCCAGAACCATCGCCGATGCCGCTATCAACGATGGTGGATACCTGTAGCTTGTATCGAATGCCAGCGATAGCTCCGATACGTAGAAACACAGGTACTGTGTTCGGGAATCTTTTTCGATATCCGCTATCATCAAAAACATGTTCAAGAATTCATTGGAGGAAGGGCAAGCCTTTTCAATCGAAGAGAGAGGACACGTGCAACCCATCGGGAAAGTGAGTGCCAGTAGTTTGATAAGAAGAAATGGCCGCAATCCGGATGCGGCAGGGATAACAAAACTCACCAGCTTCCAACCCAGGCGATTCAAAACAAGTTTTTCGGTTGCCGTGATGTTCGCAACGGAAAAGATGTTGTCGCAACAAAACGAAATATCTTTTTCCGTAAGAAACACCTCGTTGCGCTTGGATGCGATGGAGACGCACGCCCCGGCAACGAGCTGGAAGCGGCTGGTTTTAACCCTCTGCTTGCCGAAAGCACAACGATTGGCACAATTTTGGTAAGAACAATGCATGCAATGTCGCCAAGCCCGTAATAGGGCGCACCTAGACATGAATGGACTTACCTCGCCTGGCGAAGCGATGAATCGGTCGAACAGTAGCATGGMTTGAAATATGGTACGATCTTCCAAGTCAAAGCATTCGACAATCTCAACAATCTGGAAGAAAGTTTTTTAGAATCAAAGAATTAACGAAAGAAATAACAATTAAAAAACCAAACTCTCCTTAGAACAACTCACCCAGTCCATTATGTGTTTTCTCCCCTCGTAGTGATAGCTCTCGCTGTCCCTATCTCCCAACGAAGCTTTCTCGAGATCCATGAGATGACCTACAAGAGAAATCTTGTTGTCGGATTCGGCGAGCCAGCGTTTTTGGTTCAATTTTTGTTTCTGCTTGCAGGAAATTTCTTCCATTATCGACACCGCCTCCGTTTCGTTATCGCATCGATACCAGCGGAGAACCCTTCCATTCCAAATAGATATACCGGATGGGAATCGCTGCGGTGGAAAAATAATCCCTGTTTGGTGGTTTCGATCGTTTCGCAAGAAGTCTTCCTTCGATTCAAAATGGTGAACGTATAAATCTCGGAGGATAGACGGGCTTATCTTCCCGTCCCGGGATAAGGATAACAGGAACGTAGATCGTGTAGCGCGCTCCCGAACAAAGAAGTACAGCTCGGGAACCCCCCCGTCGCTTGCAAGACCCCATTGTTTCAGGTTCACAAAACCAATCAGGCTCGATCGCAAGGAAGTCTCACTTGACGACAAGGATYGGACCTCCTCCCGAATCCTAAGCGATTGATGCACCCTGCAGAACCGACAACCATGATCCCCGTCGTTGTCGCCGTCGTATTCGCGATCACCCTCGCGCTCCTTGATTCCGGCTGGAGTCGCCCACAACGACCTCGAATCCACTATGTCTCTCCACTGTTTGCATACCAAGCCAGCCACCCKGATCGATKCGCCATCCACAATCTGGTCGCTAGAAACGAAAAATTTGAATACCTGGTGAAGGACGTCCACCGAGAGGAGTGACATGGTTCAAGAAAACTAGGTAGCTTCGTTCCGAAACCACCAATGCGCCGATGCGAATGATTCTCGAATTCTTGCAAGTTGTGGTTGGGTCTCGACTGACAAGTTGGTGGCTGATGCTCGGTGAAAAAGACGAAGGAAAGCGAATCCCAAAAGCTTGTCACTCAGTGAAGCATTGCTATTGTGCTTCGGTGAACGGAAGATGTTCGAAAGCGACAGGTCGGAGCAAGGCTCGGATGGAGGTGAGTCCCGTCGTTAAATTCTAAAAATTCAAAATGCGGTTGACACTCCAAAAACGGCCAAAAAAGCAGGGGTCATAAATTCGGGAGGGTCGTACAGTACATACGTACGTACGGTACGTATATAACTGGTACTGTTGCTTCGTACAGGGCCCTCCGGAACCCACAGGCGGATCCCCCTATTGAAATCCAACAGTCGGGGGCATGATTTCGCAGGTTATTTTTCCCATGAGGTAACCCACAATTCTAAAAAGTGGGTTATTTTTCCCATGAGATAACCCACAATTCTAAAACATGGGTTATTTTTCACCAAAAATAACCCATGTTTGACTGGTGGATTTGTGGGTTTGTGGGCTAACCCACAAATAACCCACAGAATCACCCAGCACAAAATCACCCACGAATAACCCGCCATGTTTTGAAATGTGGGTTCATGATGGGTTAACCCATGAATAACCCAAAAATCTGCTGGGCCTATTTTCAAACAACAAAAATCATTGATTAATTAACATCAATGACTAAAATACTACTTAACATCCTTGGTTCTCCTCTAACCCACCAAAAGACTCTAAATTTGTGGGTTATTCATCATGGGTTATTTGTGGGTTTTTCGTGGGTTATTTTTCCAATCAAATAAACCACAATTCTAAAACATGGTGGGTTATGTTTCACCAAAAATAACCCATGTTTTTCTAGGGGAGGAATTCAAAAAGGGGGATGTACGYGTGGGTTCTGCAGGGCCCAGCAGCAGTAAAATAAAAGCCATACTCTGACAGTTATGGTTATTACTATATGATTGAATTTTTGGTCTGGACTACTAACACTAGTACTAGTAGTATTGTTAGTAAGAAAGAGGAAAAAGACATCTTCAGCTGCTAATGATGCAAAACCATGGCACTCCTCATTTCTACATAGGCAGGCCTATGGTGGTGGTGGTGGTGGTGGTAGTAGTGATATTTAGAAAGTTACATTACTACTACTAGCTACTAGTACTACTAACATGATTCCTTACGTTATACTACTACTACTGCTAGTAGTAGTTGCAGCAGCATCAGTACCAAGAAGTCTCACACAAAGAGCACTACTGGTACTGCTGCTGCTGCTGCTACTACTATTAGTACTAGTACTAGTACTAGTAGTAGAGGAGTTCTAGGAGTAATGAATCCATTCATTCAGTCATCATCCTCATGATATATTCGACTTCATACTAATATCAGTAGTACTACTAGTACTAGAAGTGACATGATTTGATGCAGACAACAACAAGAAGAAGATTGGTGGTGAGCTTCAAATGGAAGTGAAAACTTTACCATTCTTATTCTTTGACGTGATGATAAAAATAATGAAATTGAGGATCTCCTCCTTCTCCTACTAGTAGTACTACTGCTGCTACTACTAGCACTACTACTACTACTAGCACCAGCCCTCCTCACAATACAGCCACCAGGAGGGGAAGTAGTACTACTACCAGCAACATTTCTTCTTGTCCTTGGCAATAATACTACTATTAGTACTATTACTAGTAGTATTCACTATTCTTTCTTGATTGGAAGGAAATCTGTTATATAAATAGTAGCACCAGTGTTGTTGTTGTAGTAGTA